TCCATCCATCCATCCATCCATCCATCCATCCATCCATCCATCCATCCATCCATTCCTAGCTCCTGCCACCAGCCCTAAATAAACTGGCAAGGAAGGGGGGCACTGGGGCTCTGTTTCGGAGCCCAGCAGGGGCAGCTTCCTCCCGGGCAGGGTGTCCGGGTGCGGAAATCAATGCAGGGCGTCCTGCCAGCGGAGACGGGAACTGTGGACTTTCTATCCGGCTTTTGGAGATTTCCCTTTCCCTTGGAGGAGGGAAATGTTCAGTTGAGGAGTCTCTGGGGGGAAATGCAGGGACACTTCAGAAAAACAAGGCCGGAGAGGGGGAAGGGGCAGCGGGCTCGGACCAACCGTCGGAAGGAGATAAGGAAGGTGTTGCCTTCCTGCAACAGTGCTGGGGGAAAAGCAGTGTAGGAAAGATGAGGAGGGAAGATAGAGGGGGATGGAGGGACACACAGTGAGGGGGATGGGAGCTCTTGCTGGATCCCGGTGCAGCCAGGAGCGTTCTTTGGAAGTGCCAGGGAGTGGAGTGGGTTTGGGTCAGACGCCCACCCCAAAATGTGATGCTGTGGCTCGCTGCAGCCCACTCCTGCAGTGGAGGTGCTGGCATGGGGGGGGCTGGTGGACCCCAAGTCATGCACGGTATGGATGAGGCTTTGGCAAAAAGGTTATTCCACATGGGGTTGAGCCAAATGTGTGCACAGGCTGCAGCGGTGAGATAGGGCTGATGGATTAAGCAGTAGGGATGGGAGGGGATGGGGACAGCAGCCCCAGGAGCCTCTCAGCTCATTCCAACTCGGAGGCTCAGCCCCACGTCCCGCCGGGGGTGCAAAAATAATCTCACAGCGCGCTAAGCTGGCTGATGTCCCCAGGTGTCCTGGTTTGCCTTTGAAGTCACCTCCTTGTTGACGCTTTCACGCTTTCCTCCCCAAAGCAAACGGTGGAACAGAGGGGATTCTGCTTTGCCTGCAGCCCCAGGTGGGGGGCCCAGCGCTGCAGTGGGGTGGGGGCAGCCCTGATTTGTGCTGGAAATGTGGATTAGTCAGAAGTGCGCTTACTCACCGAGCAGAGGAGGTTTCAACAGACCTTGGAACTTAGAAATAGCCAAGAAAATAATTATCAGGTGAGAAATGTCTGCTTTCCTCTGCTCTGCCCTAGAGGAGACAGCAAGGGGGAAATTCTGGTCATTGTTTGCCCTGTTTTGTCCCTGTCACATAATGTTGCAAGCCACTACACAAAATTCGTGCCTGCACTGGGCAGCCCTTTGGGGTCTGTGTTAGGAGAAAAAAGGGCTTGGGAAGACCTACAGGCTTTGAAAGGGCATATTTTAGAAGTAATGGGGGTATGAGTTTGAAGGAGTGGGAATAGGTTGGAATGAGAGAGTTGGGTTAGGGTTAGATTCATTGCTAGGAGGATGGGAGGAGTGAGGGAATGATGCAAGGATGGACAAACAGATGGCTGGAGGGATGGATGGATGAGTGGAGGATGGAGGGAGGGACAGACTGGTGGAAGGAGGGATAGAGAGGTGGGTACATGGGCAGGGGGACTAGAGGCATGGATGGAAGGATGGATGGGCAGTGGCTGGTTGGCAGATGATATTAGTGGCAGGCTGGCTGGGCACAGCAGGACAGGAGGGCCCACAGAGGAGCACTCAGCACCCTGCAGTGGCTGAGCTGGGTGCTGCCAGTCCCCAGCACATAGGGTGGTCCTGTCCAGAGTCCCCCCTACCAGGCGCATAGCCGTGGGGCGGGCAGTGGGAAGGTATGCCAGCACTGGGGCTGCCACCATTCAGCAGCGTTGTCCCCAGAGCGATGTGTACCGACAGGACGTGGCACAGCTGCTGCCCGACCTTTGGGCCCCCAGCACATAGGAACAGACCTGTGGTCCCTGTCTGAGGGGCCCAGCTGTCCCAGGGAGCTGGGTGACACTGCGGTGACCTGATCACTGACAGCTGGGCCCTGCACGCTGGGAGGTGCTGTCGGAGGAATAACAGGAAGCACAGGGAGGAGAAAACAAGGCTGATGCCTTCTGCAGGTTGTTTTCCACCTCCTTCCCGGCTGGCCCTGCGTGCCCCCGCTGCCGCACGCCCATGTGCCCACCCTGGCCTTGACTCAGGCTGCACTGGTGCTCTTTATTGTTGAGGATCAGCTCTGAAAAAGTGCTCACTGTTACAAAAGTACACGTTTATAAAATGTGCTCTGTACAAAGTCCGGGGGACTCAAACTCGGCATTTCCCCCCTCTCCTTCCCCGTCTGGCAGTGCTTGGCATAGCGTGGGGAAGGGGAGAGGAGAGGGAAAAGGAGGAAAGAGAGAGTGATAGAAAGAGGAGAAGAAAAGAGAGAAGGGAAGGGAAGAGGGAATGGAAGGGAAAAAGATGAAGGATAAAGAGGACAGGAGGAGGCCCCCACGCCCTGCAATCCCCAGGCTGCAGGACAGGACATGGCCATGACACAGGGACAGTGGTGTGGGGACCCAGCATCCAGGGTCATGCACCAGCACCGACTGCTGTTGGACAGAAGTGGCAGATCATCAACGTCCTCGGTCCCCTGCCCACCGTGCAGGAAGGCGAAGTGTGAAGGTAGGCCCTTTTGCTTCAGAAAGGCAGAAAATGGGTCTGGTTGAATTCATGGATATTGGGAGCTTAGCATTTACACTTTCTCCTCTATGGCCCAGAAGTGAGGTCTGGAACTGCTGGAGGAAATGCACGTTTTGTCCATGGTCTTCAGAGGCTGCTTTGGCAGGGAGAGAGAAGACTTAGCAAAAAGAAAGAAAAGAAGGAAAAAAGGGATTCCAAGTGCCCCTATCCCAGGAAACAACACGGGAGGGTTCTACTCTCCTACAGGCATGGGGTTTGTGGGGTGCAGCCTGGAGCTACAGCATTGCCAGAGGTTCAGTCTCGCCATGGATCCATGGCACAGGGATTGCTGTGATGTGCACCCAGCCTTCTCTCCATGCTGCAGTCAGGGCTCCCGGTTCAGCATGGGAATGGGGTCACCAAGCCAGAAGTTGCCTTATTTTTCCCCATTTTTCTTGTGGTTTTGTTTTGGTTTTGTTTTGGTCGGTTTGTTTATAAATGGCACATCTACACTCCAGCTACACGCACGGGAAACACAGTGAGAAAACTGAACAGTTCACGGGAAGCCCCTCCTTGAGATGTGTCTGGCAGGAGGAATGGCTCCAGGGAGGGTGTAAGGGGTGGGGTGGGGGGGCTGTCCCAAGCAGAGTCCCCCAGAGGGCAAGGATGGGAGCAAACATATCTTGGCAGCAAAGTGCTACGTGACTGCGGGAGTTTTACAGCTGGAGTGGAAGTGTCAGTCTTCAGCCCTACTCTCTGCAGGGATGGCCATGAAGACAGCGTAAAACACACACGAGAGCAGTGGCCATCCTGCTTGGACAGAGAGGCCAGTAGCTTTGTGGGTTTTTCTTCTTTTTTTTCATTTCTTTGGAGTTCCTTTTGCCTCCCAACAATGGTTCCCCAAGCTGTCTGGCCAGGCTGGGTGCCAGGTATGGCCCAAAACCTGCACAAAACTTGAGAGGAGAAGGGGAAGGAGCAGGAATTGGCTGGTAAAAGGAGATGCTTGCGGGGCTTCAACGCTTGTGGCTCTGGTGCTGTCTGCATGTCCAAGTTGTGGCAAGTGTCACCAGCACCTGGGGCTGTCCCCAATGAGCGCCATGTCCTGGGCTTGGCCCTTAGCTGCAGAGAACAAGCTGGATTTGGGGAACAGGAGGCTGCAGGCTCTTGCTCTACCAGTGCTGTTTTTGGGCTGAAAGCGGTGATTTCCGTGGTTTTCTCCCCAGGCAGTGGGCATCAGTATCCCCCAAGGCACGTGCTGCTTTTGGGGTTCTTTCTCACATGGGGTTTGCTTCGGCTGCAGACCCTGCTCTGTCTCCCCGAGCTCCTGGTCTGGGGTCTCCCCTGCACCCCTCTGCTGCCGCCTCCACTGTCCCAGCAGCTGGGGCTTCAAGCTCAGCTCAGCTTCATGGTGGTGACAGTGGTCCTGGGGGGCACCAGCCAGAGTGAAAATCCCCCATTTTAGGGCAAAAGAAGAGGAACTGTTCCCCCGTTTCCCCACAACAACCAGGCACAGGGGACAGTGGGAGGGGACAAGGACAAGGCACAGTGTCCCCGCCACATAGTGGGGCTGGGGCGGGGAGCAGGGGAGGCTGGGTTGGCTGGGGGCAGAGGGGTGAGCCCCTGTCCCAGCCTCCCCAGCCATACCTAAACCTCCTCGTCCTCGCTGGCTTTGCTCCAGCGGTGACAGCAGTTGGCCGTGATGCCCAGCAGGAAGTTGGTGGCCACCGACGCGATGGAGACCACGAAGCCCACGAAGGCGATGAAGAGATAGTCATCCAGGGTCAGGGTGAGGTGGCACGCCTTGAAGCTCTCCTCCGTCAGAGAGAAGAGGGGCACCTCCTTCACCTCGGGGGGAGCCTGGCACTTGGCCAGCTGCGAATCTGCCAGGAGAGTGACATTAGCAGCCGGCAACACCACCGGTGGGGACGCGGAGAGGATGCCGGGGCCACCTACCTGACATGCAGAGCTGGATGCGGCTCTTCAGCCACTTGAGGAAGGGCTCCATCGCGCAGCCGCACACCCAGGGGTTGCCGCCGATCCGGAGGGTCACCAACCCCGTCAGCCCCTCCAGCGCGTCCAGGCTGAGGGCCGACAGCCCCCCGTAGCTGAGGTCCAGCTCCCGCAGCTGCGCCAGCCCGCGGAAGGCCCTGGGGTGCACCGTGCACAGCCAGGGGTTGTGGCTGAGGTCGAGGCGCAGCAGCTCGCTGGCCTCCAGGAACATGTCGGCCGTCACCAGGCTGAAGTTGTTGTAGCTGAGGTCCAGGTGGGTGAGGCGGCGGGCGCCCAGGAACAGCCTGGCGGGCAGTGCGGCCAGCGAGTTGTTGCGCAGGTCAAGGACACGCAGCTGGGCGTAGCAGGCCAGGTAGCCCAGCGGGATGCTGGCAATGCGGTTGTGGGCCAGGCTGAGGTTGCCGGTGTCCAAGGGCAGCTCGGCGGGCACCGAGAAGAGCCGCTGCCCGCTGCAGTCCACCGCCTGCCCACGGCACGTACACAGCACCGGGCAGCCTGCACCGGCGCCCGCCGTCACCACCGCCACCACCGCCACCAGCCAGGGGCCCAGCAGCATGGTGGGCCGGCGGCCTGCCCCCGGGCCCATCTCAGAGCCTGCAGTGTGCCATGCCAGCCGGCCTCAGTGCGGGGACAGCCTGCCGGCTGCACCGCGACAGCATCCTCTGCCGTCACAGTGCGGTGGCCATCCCAGCCGGGGAAAGGCTCACCCAGCAAAGTCTACTGGCAGTGGTGGAGGAAGCACTTGGGATCACACCCAGGCTCTGAGTTAGCAAAGCAACACTTGGGGCATCCCAGAGACATTCGGGGCCCACTGAGCGTCCCCACAGGGCTGGTGCGGGCTGCCTGCAGCTGCCTGCAGAAAAGAGGGGTGAGAGAAACCCAAGCTAGCAGCAAGCCCTGCTGGAGCTGTGTGGCTCATGGGGCGTCCACACCATCCCCATGAACCCGTGCCCCTCCTCATCCAGCCCCCGTGCTTTTAGCCAAACAGAGGGCCCAGCCCCACCGGCTCAGCTTGGCTTGTCCTAGCAGAGCCAGGGGGGTCCCCACCTTCAATGCTCTGCCTGCTGCCAGGGATGCCTTCTTTGCCAGCCCCCACAGGGATAGCCCCCTCCCAGCGCACAGCATCCCTTGCCCCGGCGGCCCCACTGCCGGCCTGCTCTGCCCCCGCTGCCTGGCCATCTTAGCTCCTTCCTCCCTCACCCAGCACGCCCATGCCCTCCCCAGCTCCATTCTTTCCCCATCTCACCCACTGTGCAGGGGAAACCACCGCCCCTGCTGCCCTCCTTCCCTGTCACGGCCGCCAATCCCTCCAATAGTGCCGGGGGACTGCGGGATCCCTGGGTACTCACGCTGCCTGGAGACAAGAGGGGCTCAGATCAGCAGTCGCTGGGCTCGGGCGGTGAGACGGGGGTCCGTCAAGTTGGGTGAGCAGCTCCTGCAGCCAAGGCTGCTGCCGAGCCTGGCAATCAGAGCAGGTCTTTCCCCACCTCCTTCCTCCCCTCCTCCTCCTCGTCCTCCCTTGTCTCTCTCTTTCTCTTTTTTTTTTTTTTTCCTTGAGGGCCAGATACTGACGTTTCGGTGTCTCTTAGCAACTGCCTCCACATCTCTGAGCAACAGGAGAGCAGGATGCAGAGCTGCAGAGCAATAGAGACGGCAGAGGGGAGCAATGCCCCCGCGATTGGGACATCCTGCTTGGGACGACTGTGTGGGATGGAGGATGACAGGTGGCACCTGGCCGTGCAGTGACCCCAGCTGGTCCCTAGCCGCCCTCCTTGCACCCCTAGCCCCAGGGAGCACCCCTGTAGGATGGGGTGAACCAGGGCTTCCCAGGTCTTAAAACAGAAGCAAAATACGTGTCACTAGAAGAGAAAATAAGAGCAAATTAGTGATCTCAGCCAGCTGCCTTCACCCCAATGAACCCAGGCTGCACAGACCTGGTGGCCTGGGGGAGGGGTGGTGGTGTGAGGGCTGTGTTCCCATTTAAAAACTGTTACTCTGCTCATTTCATATGGTATTTTGTGTGCCCCCCCCCCCCCCCAACACCACACACTTGCAGTCAGCTTCTTTAAATGCAAATAGCTCTTTCAGGAAAAAAAAAAAAAAAAGATGCTCTGGAAACATTGCAACAACACTGGTATGACATTTTTTAAAGGAGGCACTTTCAAAATCTAGCCTGCTTGTGTATTTTCCCCATTTCTTTCAATTTTCTCCTACTGTTCTCACACAGCTGCCTCCCTCCCAGCCCCACCGACCCCATTTCTGTATCCCTGTGGATGCCTGGGGCTGCTGCTCCCCATGGGACGACTCCCCCTCACCTACAGCTCACAGCCAGACGGCGTGGCTGCCTCTCCCTGTGGTGGGTATTAATTGGCACTGCTCTCAGCCCGGGGTCCCAGTGGGTTTCAAGAGAAGCTCCAGGAGCCAAATACAACCAGACATCCCCGGAGCCAGATGCAGTTCAGCCAGACATGTAATTAGAGATAAGACCGTGCATGGCTGCAAATCTCTTCCAGAGCAACTATTAGTACAGAGATTTCCACCATTTAGGGCTGCATTTGCAGCAAATTAATGAATAAATAACCCTGACTAAGGCTGGTTGTTAATGGCCCTCAAGGCCAACTGGCAGAACTGAGCTCAGAGCCTCTTTGTCTTCCACAATGCAGGAGAGGTTGGTGACAACGAAGCAGCCTCACTGCCACATCACGGAAGCACCACGAATCACTGAGGTGGCCACGAGCATCCCTGGGGTGCTCAAGGCTGGGTTGTGTGGGGCCCTGGGCAGCTTGAGCTGGTGGTGGCAGCTGTAGCCATGGCAGGGAGGCTGGAGCTCAATGACCTTTGAGATCCCTTCCAACATCAGGAATTCCATGAGATGCAACCTGCTTTTAGAGACAGGCATCGGTCTTTATCCTCCTGCTCTTTGCCAGGTCAACCAACGAAAGCAACCAGAGTCCCCTTGCAAGAGCCCAGTCCCATAAAACATGCATGCATGGCATGAAAACACAAGCAGAAGAGCGCTGCCTTTTCAGATCACTGCTCCAAGTTTGCTTTCTCCCTTTGCTTTTTTGGGAAGGCACTGGCAGTGCTCCCAATTGTGGGCTGCCTCAATGCACCCACAGCCCCCAGCCAGGCTCATCCTTCAGAGCCTGCAGTGGCTTTGGGAGCTCAGCTCGTTGACCTCACCTTATGCTCAGGTTGGGCTTCATCTCTTTTATGGGAATCACCTGGTAGCCTGCTTCATTCAGTATATGTGTTCAAGCTGTGAAGAGAAGGAGGAAAGTATATGAGTAATAAAATGCATATTGGTCCAGTTTCCTCAATATCAAACTCAGTGCTCTAGTCTAGTTCTTATTTTACTTTTTAAATTATTTTGTTTAAGTACTCTACAGCCATTAATAAGCTTACACCAGCCCAGAATGCCATTAGGACTCAAGGAACTAGGATCTTGCCAGGATCCGGACAGCAATACTTACAAAGGGCTTTGTTTGACTTTGTTTTGGGTCTCTTTCCATCCAAGAGACGTTTTTAGTTTGGCTGACACTCTTTGCAATTACGAGATGATGGCAGAAAGCCAGAACCCAAATCTGCTTTCTGAGCCCAACACAGCGCATTTGTGCCAAGGTAGGGTTTTACAACTTCTAAATGCTTTGTAATCAGCTAAGCAGGTTTTGCTCCTGTCGGATTTGCTTTGTAGTTTTAGTAAGGAAGTAGATGGTTTTCCTTCCTGCGATGCCTTTATCTACAAATGGCATCAAAACTGAAGGCTGTTGTGCAGACAAGAGCTGCAGGTGGGGTACTGCTGCTCTCCTTTTCATGCCTTGCATGTCATTACCTCATTTTTGCAGGTTCAGTCCTAGAAAAGCTATGCTTGCTTACAGCTGTTCCTCATTGCCAGGAGGGTGCCAATTGCTGGGAGGAGCCTGAATTTCAGCCCCAGGGCTGCTCCCCATCCTGCCCCTTCCCCTGACAGCAGTACTGGCAGTCTGCTATGTTTTGAGTCCTTTGCCCTGAGACTGCCTGAGCTCGTGAAGATTTTTGCTTGAGCCAGACTTGGGACTTTCAGGTGGAGCAGCCCCTTCCCCAGTGGTAGGATGCTATGCTGTCCTTGTGGGGATGTGGCTCAGGTAGTGACACGTGTCACACAGGGCTGGGGCTCTCCCCCTGGCACTGCTGCTCTGGGTACTTGAAGCCTTTTCATAGCTGGATTTTAAGAATGGGGGGATGCATGGAGAACTGCAGGGAAGGAGGCTTGTTCCTTCAAGGCAGCTGGAGAAGGCCAACTGGACAGACACCAAAAACCTTGTGTTGGACTACTGTGTCGAGGGCTCTGCCCTGGACACCATGATTGATAGTGGTGTTGGAGCACAGTCAGCTCTGCAACGTGGCTGCTTTGCTCAGGGAAAGCAGAGGGCCCAAGGCTAGACCCCGAGTTCATAGAAAATCCCAAGTTGGAAGGGACCCAACAAGGATCCCTGGCTCCACCCAGGACCACCCAAAAAAAATCGAACCCTGTATCTGAGAGCACTGATGTGCTCCCAGGAGGCACAGACACATGGGTAAGATGGTGGGCATCAGACAAGGAATTTGTGGGATTTGAATACAGCGCCTTCACCTGTTGCTGGAAGCTTTATGAAAACACAGAGCAGGAGGCTGCTGGAGGGCAACAGGAGGAAGCAAAGCAGGGGCTGGAGCATGTGCAAATGCCTGGCCCAGGTCACTGTTCCTCCCATCCCTGCTGGCACAGCAAGGATGCTCTGCGCACCATCTGAAAGGCTGCAGGAATGTATTTTGAGTCTTCTGCTGAGCCTACATTTGGGAGAAAAAAATGGGAAAAAAATGAGGCCTATTTATGGATACTGAAGATAGCTTGAGGCATCACTGACTGTAAGTCAAAGGGGCCTGCCCCTTATTATTGCACTTTCCCTAGATATAATTTGGTACCACATTTTTACATTAACGAGTCTCCACTACAACACTGTAAGAGAGAAAACTCATTTTCAGATGGAAGAGTCACAGTACTCTTGGGAAGGGATAGAGCCATCCCAGAGCAGGGGCTATATTTTTCACCAGGGTACTCTGACAACAAGCTTAGAAAGAGGGAATCTCTCAGAGGTGGATTCAACTCATCCTTTCACACAACATCAGCTCTTTGTCCTGGGCCTTACTATGTAGTTGAGTGGGTGCTGTTCGGTCGCCTTGGCTTCCTGTTCACTTGCTACAGCACTGTGCAGCACTGTGCCATTACTGCTGGATACTGCCCTGCAGCTGCACTTTGACATCTTATCACTAACAGCTTGGAGATTTGCATTGCATTTTGTCACTTACAGCTGGGAGATTTTTATTTTTCACTCTGGAATGAGCTGGAGCTGCTCTCAGCATTGTTGCCCCCAGGGACACGCCAACAAGGAAATTCAACAACAAACAGAAAACCAGATACAGCTGTTACAGATACCATGCACATCAGATTTGGAAGAGATCCTTGGAATGCTAAAAGTACCTTCCAATATGCATTGCCAGGCTCTGGTTGCATAGGCTCAGGGCTGATCCTCCTGAGGAGCACAGGAATTACTACCTGGAGCTGAGATACACAATATAGATCCAGATAGGACCTCCTCCTCTGTGAATGGGAAGGAACAGAGCTGAAGGTGCAGAAAACTAGGGTGAATCAATGGAAAAAATATGTGAAATCTCTGTGTTTGCTCTCTGGGATTGGGAGCACACCAAAACACACCTTAGATGCCAGGGATTTTCTTCACTATTTATAGTTTTTTCATCATGGTTCGTATTTTGATGAAGCTTCCAATATTTCCATTCATTCCTAGGGTCAGCAGCAATGCTCTGTGACCCTCCCACAATCAAGGCATCGCCCCCAGGGATGGTACCAGGCCCACGGGTCTGATTTCTCTCCCATTACTAGAAGTACCACTACACAAACAGCTAGCTTGATTAAGCACAACCCACTTAAATTTTCCAGTCACCCTGCCCATCACAGCTTTCATCATAGGAAAGAATGATGAATGGCACCAGCATGATGCCTAAATCAGGGCTGCACTAGGAAGCAGACCTCCCAGGTTTCCTCAGAGCCTGGCAGGACTCAGCCACCTTCTTGGCCCAGCCACTTCCTCTGAAATTGCTTCATGTCTTTTAGTGACTACCTGTCTCAGAGTTGAAATGCTCTGACAGCAGCTGTGGTTTTGGCAAAGGCACTCCTGTGAACTTCCTGCTCAACATCAGAAAGTCAAGTTTGTGGTTTGATGCATGCTGCTTGCTCTGGCACAGAGTTTGGGCTGAAATGAAACCAATTCCTCCCCAAGCCTGATGTCAAATCACAGCCTGTTTCATCCTGCCAGGAAACCTCATTCCTCCTCCACACAGGCACCTTTGGCCAGCCCCAAATGAGAGCTTGACCTCCAGATTCTTCCTCTACCAGGATCCTGAAGTGGCTGCCTTCTTGGCTGTATGTAATGAGGTAATCTGTGGAGTCAGTTACATGGAAAACATACATCACTGGTCCAGTACTAGGGCAGTGCAGGGCTGCACTGTAATAGGAGTGGGGATGTTCGTAATCTCTAGGCACTCGAGCAACAATCACCCAGAAATAAGTAAGCCCCAGCTCTGCACCTGCTGGCCTGAGATATGAGATCCCAGAGCACCACCCTGTATCACCTAAGGTGTGATATACTCTCTGCTGTACTCATGAACACAGCCCAAGAGAGGAGAACTGAAGAGAAGGGAAGGAATGGTTACTATGGCCAATGTGGGACCTGGCTGTCACTCAGAGACTTTGCTTTTTCATATATTCTTCATCACTACATTCTGCAGGGCTTAACTGGTTTACCTGCTCTTTTGAGCATCATTGTCATTACCGAGCCATGGCATGGACTTGCCCTCTGGGGCAGTAAGGACAGTGAGATGCATAACATGGAGCTACAGCCAACCCTATGCAGCTCTGCGGGAGCTTAGGATGCTCTGCAGCTTCCCCAGCATGCAAGACCAGTCCCTAGGCAACCTGCACCAGAGCCACCGGATGCACTGCAGGGAGTCTGCTGCCACTCAGCACAGCCCTGGGCGTGCACAGGCAGGGGGCACTGAGCAGATGATCTCAATTCAGTCCTAAGAAAATCACTGCTTACCTTTTCTAAGTCACAGCTTCAAAACAAATCTGACTACGGCCTAAAAGCAAGACTGTATCCTCAAGCCTCCTAGGAAAACAGCACTAAGAATTTAGCTTTGGTTCCATTTTTCCATGAGAAAAGCCAAACCAATTACACAACACTTTGAAATTCTTTAAAGAGTCTGAACAGACTTTTCTAGATGAAGAAAAAGATTCTGGTTCAGTAACAAGAGATCAGAAGAATGCACGGTTGAAAGAAAGATACTGCTGGATAAAAGCATTGTTAAACACAACTGTTGTACAGAATGGGTTATGAAAACATTACAAACCCTCCCCCCCATCTTGATTTTTAAAAACTTATCCCCACAGCAGTTTCATAGCTTTCTTGGGTAAGATCCTGCAAGTGATTTGAGGAAATACGTAATGGAGCAATATAATCTCTTCAAACATCTGCACTTGCACAAAACACAGCCAGCAGTCTCAGAGCATACCAGCTACAGCATCATCCTAGTTTAGGAGGAAGGAGAGAAACAAGCATCAATGGACTTTATTCAATGTTTTATTTTTGTACAAAAAGGTTTAAAATGGTAAGCAATCTGCATGCTAAGAAAATAAAACCAATATGTCTCACTATCCAAAAGCCATTTGTTTTCTCAGTTTTTGAAGTTGCAAGCTATGCCACAAGTTGATTTGGGCCCAGGTGGGGAATGCCAAACTGCTGAGCTCGTGCGTTTGAAATACCGAGGCTTGCTCTTGCCAAAAATATCTTCCAGCTTAGGGCTTGCTATCAACCCAAACAGTTGGTCAACATTCACTGGATGATAGTACTGGTGCAGAATGGCTTGATTAAGCTGAGACCCTATGAAAACAACCACATCAGAGAAACAGACTCAAGTAAGTTGTCAGTGCTCTGCTTAAGGTATCCTTTCCCTTAGAGCCCACAAGACAGTTACTCTTCTTCATCCACACCCCCTAAACAAACACTGCAACCTGCACAGTGAATGCAATAGACAGTCTTCCTGCTCACTGTAAAGCTTTAAGCACCACATCCATCTCTGGGTTGCCAACAACATTTGTTTTATGTCACTTGTCACCACACTAGAAATACCCCAAACTTGCCACACCTTGGTTTACCACAGGGGGAGGGATTGCCTCAAACTGGTGAGCCCACACCATTCTCTCACACCCTTGAATCCAAACACACACAGAACTTTGGTTTAGCTTTGACACAACAGCACTTGCAAGAAAGCAGATCCAGCCCCTCTCACCAAGCAGCTGCCAACAGTGCTGAAGTCTCACACTCCTGAACTGTACTTTAAGGAAGCTGAGATCATACTGAACAGATCTGGAGAGCTCCTGCTTCCCGGGGAAGGAATTAAAAGACTAATCAAACATGGCACCTACCATCAGCCCAGGCAGGGACAGGCTTCCGAGGTTCATTCTCATCATCTGTGGAATCATCACTGTTCAGATCCATCCCATAGTTATTGGGGGACCTGGATTCTTTTGTGCCCTTTGAAGGCGCTAAGCAGGATGTGGAGATAGGTTTCTGAAACCACAGAGACAACATTTATGAGAGCAGCAAACATACCTCGCAGCCTGACAGAAGAGTTTGCTTTACTAGAGCAGGCTTACCCAGTCTGACCCCTTGCAGGCATCTCAAAGCTCTGGCATTAGCAATACAAACAGGCTGTACTCAGATCCCAGATTAGATCCTACAGCAATAAGGTGTTAATGTATCTATGGTAGTAACCCTCACACTAACCCAAAGCCATGAGTTAAGAGGGAGGTTTACAGTGCCCCATGTTGGTAGCCAGAAACAAGAACTGACAGCAGACCTTCTAGAGCAGATTCTTGATATACACATTTACTTTCATTCCTAGTTCAAGAAACAGGAGAGCAGAAAAGTTACTCAACTGTGTACGGGAAAATTTTCACCTACACAAGAACTGAAACACTTGTAATATTCTTTTTTGACAGGTTATTTGGGTTCAAATTTCCAGAAGTGCTCAAATCCTTCTGGCTTTTTTTTTTTTTCCCTCCCAGATCTGTTCTGAAACCATGACTTGATGAAAGCCAAGCCCAGAACTGTATACCAGAGCAGGCACTGCAAACTGCAGAACTCAAACAGCTGCTTGTTCAACCTGCAGCTTTCTAGTTGTGGAGAACTGCCTGCCAGCATCTGGTGAGCATGGAGCTAGGGTTCCATTTCACTCTGAAGCTGCAGGTCAGAATAACACAAGACAAAGCCTGGAGGAACATGCTGCCTTTGTGGTGAAGAACAGGGAATGTCTAGAAGACCTGACAGTTGCATGTAGTGCAGAAATGCCTAGAAGTACTGACCAGAGGACAAGCCAGGAAAGGCATCATTATGGAGATACTGCCACAAACTACCAGCATACGTCTCTGAAGTGTCTGTACAGTGGAAAGCACAGTAGAAGGAATAAACCTGATAAAACAGTGATAAAACAGTGCTACAGTTGCAGAGCTGTAGTTATGTTAGGATCACAGAGGTGTGGTACAAAGAAGGTGGAATCAAGTACTCTTTTTTAGTGCCCAGCAATAGTACAAAAGGCAATGGGAGCAGCCTAAACTGAATTTCAGGCGGTTGGCTGAACACCAGGAAATGCTTTTTTACTGTGGTTGTCCAGAGAAAACAACTTTCTTAGAGATAAGGAAAACCTGTCTGAAAACAGTCCAATGTAAGCTGCTTTACATGATCCTGCTTGAACAGAGGTGTTGGACCACCTACCTCCAGAGGACCCTTAACCTCCACTATTCTTTTTGCAGTGTTCTTCACATTTAATCCAAGTACAGGAACAAGGAAATACAGATGTGCTTATTTACTCTGTATAAGTACAAAACCAGTCACTGTATTCTGTGACTTGTAAGCCTCTTCTGGTTGTTTTTTTTTTTTTTGCACATTGTTCTATAGCTCAAACCCATACACATGTTTGACAGTAGATCCGATTTTCACTCTCTACAACTGACATACATAATAAAGTCAGCCACAGGAAACCAGTCAGAAAGAGGCATTTACAGTCAGAAGGGACACTCAGCGCTGACTGACTCTTTTAGCAGCTTTTTCTCCACCCCTCCAGACTTCAGGAGTAAACAGTTCAAGTTCAAACAAGCATCTGGAGATTTAAGTAGCTAAATAGACTTCACAGGCAAGCCTGAATCAGTGCTGCTACCGTGTAGCTGAAGGCTCTGCAAGCTAAACTGACACCTCATGGTGTGCTGCCATCCTGTGGTCATTTCCAGCATCTTTTCAAGGAGAAAACAATTGCTTTTCGTTCATCTTCTCCTGTGCTGAACTCTCAGCTAAGTACCAGATAAGAAAAACTTCTCCATCCTCACTCTACACAACTTCAGTTAAACCTCAACAGTCTATTTTGAGGATTTCATCTCCTGGTCACCTTCTTCATCACAGCCAAGTCAGCAGGTTAACAACAAAACATAAGAGCAAATCAGATACCACAGATCCATTTCAAGGGCTCCACTGGAACTGAAGCTCACCTTCACAGTTTTGCTCAGCCACGTGCTGGAGGCAGCAGTAAAAGATTCTGGTTGCTCGATTTTCTTCTCTTCAGCCAGCTGCTGCTGGGGCTCCTGCAGACCATGTCCCTTCTGTCAAGATACAAGAATTAAGCTATTCATTAATGTTCACCCAAGCAAAACAAGCAGGCTATATCTGGAATTTATTTTCTGAAGAAATTCTCTATTCCTTTGTCTTCAGCAGGGTGAGGGGGAAGAAATTAAGAATCACACAGATAAAGTGACAGCTGTCTTGGCTCAGATTCAGATCAGTGAAGTCTCTAGAGCCTGCACTCTTATCACTTTCAGCTAGTTATTAGAGGTCACTGCAGTGGATTCTGGTTGCTTGCCTGTCTTCTACTGCCCAAGCAGCTGGCACAATGTTCTGGGCTTCCATCTTCCTAACAAAGAGGAAAGCATTGCAGTACTTCAGCTCCTTTTCAACCCACACCACTTGATCCAGGTGTTTCATCTGCCACTCTCCTTAACAGGGGAGAAGCTAACACAAGAGGAAGAGCTGTAGCCACTCTAAATTAGATTCAGCTTCTCTCTTACCTGGAGAAGCTTCACCATGCCCCAGTATAGTAACCAGTAACCAGCCCAGTTGCTGGTTATATGCTGGAATTCAAACGTTCATTAAGTTTATATAGCAAAAATAGGAACCCCAGGGCTAACAACTTCTAAACTAAGCACAGTCAGAACAAAAAAGAAGAAAGAATTTATCTTCAAGAGTGGTACCATTTGGGAGTTTGATTATGTTTTAAACTGTTTTAAATGCTGCAGAAGGCAGATGAGTGAGGGATTATTTAAAGTGGAAATAAAATATTACTATGATATTTTGCAACAAGCAGCTTTGACTAATAGCTAACCTTGAACAAAAAGAAGTAACGAAGAACTTGGAAAGCAAGTCCCATCTTAAAAAAAAAAAAAAGTCTGCATGTTCTATGCCTTACTACTTTACAACAGAGTTTGTCACAAGCCACTGTAAAGCCTCACCGTTGTGTTTTTATCAGTAAACACCATGGACTCCATCTGTGAATAGGGGACCTTCTCTTTCCCACGCTGCTTGAGATCCCTGGGAAACAAAATTATACTTAAGTTACACAGAAAAGCATGTTTCCAGCCTTCCCTCCTAGCTTTCTTACAGGCTCTTGCTTTAGCACCCCAAACCTTTGGAATCACCTGACACATCAGATTCCCAATTGCAGAAATACTGTTTATATTTATTGCTGCACCGTGCTTGTTGCTAAGGCCCCCTCTCCAGAATAGAAACAGGCTAATACCTCTCCTTCGTTTGTTCCACCTGTTGCTGCCCTACAAGATTTTTCAGTTCCAGAACTCTTCCTTTTTCTTCCACTTCAACTTCTCTCCTTTTCTGCAGCAGTTCTTGCTGCTCAAGTTCACATTCCTCCTGAAGAACAAACAGATCTGTAACCCTCCAATTCAAGTCGGAAAAGATGGTGTGGATATGAAATGGGTGCTTTGAGACAAATCATGCTCATTAAATCCTTTTCTTATCTTCCACAGCCTACTCGCTACCAGTTGGGCAGTATTTCCTTTCTGTCTCCACAGGTTCCCAGGTGCTCAAATCCAGCATTAACTGTCTAGACAGAAACCTTGCAGCAGATACTTCGATTTCCCCAAATCCCCATGGCTCCTGGCAGTAACTGCTCCCTGTGCAACCAGGCAGATCAATGCATGGATTCCTTTCCTTTTCTATATGCAGGAGGGATCTAGAGCTGTTCTTACCAACTTCAGTATCTTCTGCTTCCGCACATCACTTTCCCAAGGTTTCTTTGATAGCTTTTTCTTGCTCCGTTCCTCAGACACCTTTTCTTCCCGCACCTGTGAGAGACGCACCTGAAAAAGCCCCATGCATCTGCTCCACCACCCCTCATTTACCAAATGGAGGGTAGGGAGGATAGGGAGAGCTTCTTCAGTATGAAGACTGGCATTCAGTCTTATTCTAATAAGACTGAGAACCCAGCACCAGGCACACATGCACTGTATTTAGCACCAACCTTGTGCAAGTCCATCACTTACTACAGGTCATGTGATGAGAAACCCACCACCTGGAGTGCTGAAAGAAGAGCACAGAAGCTGTTACAGATATACAGAATACAAGCTTTCACCCTGTATGTGATTCTCTGCAGAACAAGGACATCTAGCATCTTGTGTTTTATCTCAAAATGCTGTATGCTGCAGCTGAGCTGCAGTACTGCAGTATGAATTGAGGACCTGAAACCTGAGCCACAGATACTGTGCTTTTGCCAGAGCTGTCCCAGTCACTGCATTATTCTTTTTCTAGGGCTGAGCTTTTCCAAAAGTCAGTCTAGCCCACTCCTTAAAGTGAGCAACCATATATTCTCCTGGAGCTCCATCCAGGTTAGCTTAACACAGCCTCCCTCATTTCTGAAGAGCCTGTACTGTTGTACAAAAGCAGTTCACATATTGTCATCAATGGCTGATGCTAGCATACTTCTTTTCTATCTGTCCTTAAAAAAAGGGAGGAGACAAAGCCTTAAAAACAGACACAAAATGAAACACACACAGTTGTTGCTGCCGCATCTACTAATCACGAGCATTCCTTGCTCACTTGGTAGCTTTTCCTTCCTGCCATGCTTCTGCAACCACTGTGGTTTCACTGTCTGTAATGCGGTACAAACAACTAGATGACACTGTCTCACTGCTGGGTCTGTTCACAGGACAGTCAAGGGATGCGGCCACATTCCTTGAACACAGAGCACTACAGACACTGCATGTCAGAACAGGAACGTGTAGAATCGCAGAGGTATGGAGAACAAAAGCCTCTCCTTGTTAGACAGAGAATTTCAAAACCTATTTTAGATGCAGACTTTCCCACCACCTGATTAGTCACCGTGAGCAGCAGCCCTGTGCTTGCACACATCATGCCAGTGGCCTGTTTGCACCCGCTTGATCTCACAGCTCACTGTGATAATTTCATTATTCTGAATGGCTCAAAGCTTAGTCAGGCTTCTAACCTTTTCATCACTCTGTAAAATCTTCTGTTCCATCCGTTTTTTCTTCTCTTCTTCCATTTGTTCCACTCGCTCTCGAGCCTGCAGTGCTTTCCTCAGTCGTTCTTCCCTCTTCCTGAGTAATGTGTGTGCAAGAGGGGCCTGTTAGCTTTGTTTGCTCTAACACAGAGGATGATAAGGGAACAAGGATCTACGGTAGTAACTTGACTTTGTGGCTCATTTTCTAACACAGCAGCAGCCTGCCACGGATCATGAGAAAACAATTATTTTGCTCAAACTGCTTTGTCTGAGCTTAACCTCAGCTCACATGTGGATTTAGGCCACCAGAAATCAGCAGGTGCTTTGCACTGATGCAGTTATTACTGCAGCAAGCCATGAGCAGCCCTGCTTCAGGTATGAGCCCAGGGATCATCTACTAAATGTTCCTTTTGGGCGGGCTGCACAAAGCATGGTATAGCAACACTGCCTGCCTGGCAGGAAAAAGAAAAGAAAGACTTCAAGGCAACTCTGCACTGAACCAGGGAAGGAGCAGGATGTAAGGGACTCAACTCACTGCTTCATTTCTGCCTGTCTCCGTCTCTTTTCTTCCTCCACTTTCTTCTTCCTTTGTTCCTCAGCCTCCTGTTTCTTCCTGAGACTTTCCAGTCTCTGTCGCTCCTTCTCCTAAAGGGAGATGAGTTCAGACTATACCAATTGCTGGGTCCTGTTTCTACCCTCAGGCTGCTTGTGCAGTAGCAGCTAGAGGCTAAGCTGCCTGCTAAACAAAGAAGTCCCTATCATGTTCGCCCACACACAGGGATGGAAAGTGAATAGTAGATAAGAAACAATGCAGATTTGGCAGCAGCACTTATTGAACTGCACCACCTTCTCAGAGCAGAAGAGTCATGGGGATGGCAGGGAAACACTTAAGTCTTTCAGCTGTTCAGAATACATTTCAGGTAAGAGAAGTTACCCAGCACTCTGCAGCTGTAGGCGGCTGCCTGTAGTAAACATTTCGTGCCCAGGTCAGTGTTACCTATGTCAGCGAGTGGAAGAAGGAGGGAGACAGAGTGCAAGTAGTCATGCTTAGAGGCCAAAAAGGTTTCTTAGCAGTTCCCAGCTCTGGCAGAATACACCTGCACAGGAGATCCTGCCACCTCACCACCACCATGATCAGTTTACATTTTTGGATAGAAGAGTTGTGTGGATGCCAATGCAAGAAGAAAGAGCTGTTAGTGTTGTGAGACAAGAAGCACAACCGCTATAGTCCTCCAACCCCACAGTTAAATGTGTCATTACTTACAACAAAGTCTCCCTGTAGAGAAAAGACACACAATGAATGTTTGTAAGAAATACCAGAAGCCTGCACCACCCCTGTTAGCTGCAGCTCCTTTCAAGTACACGCTAGGAAACCCACTGCATGACCCCACAGTCTGTCTTTCAGCCCTGAAGCAGCCAATTATGTGACACAAAGGCAGATTCCCATTGTGAAATGAGACGCTTCCCATTTTACCACAATTGAACAGTTCTAGAACATAAAGTGTTTCTGCTGACTATAGGCAAAGCAGCGAGATTTCTCTGCATCTGAGGACAGATTGATGACTGGTACTAAACACAAAACCCTGGCTAGTAACAGTGTTTGTGGTCTTGCCTTGCTTCAACTGTCCAAACAGTTTCCCTCCACTGGGGAGGCTGAGGTAGAATCATGAGGACAATTTGCTGTTATGACCTACACTGATCCATGGCAGCCAACAGAACCAGGAATATATTTGCGCTTTTCTAAACAGTCATCCTGCCACTCCCCCAGCCTTGATCCTCTCCTCCATCTCTGTGAGGGGAAGTGGAATTCTGATGCACCTTAAGATTAGGTCGGGTGGGAGTATTGCATTTGATGAAATTCTTTATGACACCTCCATGTCCTGTGGACCCAGAGGTTGTAAGTAGCTGGTTTCTCTGCACAGCCTGAAGGAAGTTTTTCAATGGTCTAACCACCTGAGAGGAAAAGATAGAAGGAAATTACCACCTGCTAGGGAAAGGAAGGCAATGAGAGGCTATGGCAAAGACTCACCTTGCTAGCTGGAGAAGCAGAAGGTGGAGTCAGGTTTGCAGAATTCGCATGCTTGTCATCCAGAGGGGAGTGGGCACCACCTCCTGGATGCTGGCGGTTCCATACAGCACCCATTGCTTGCTTATAGCTTCTTGTCCTGTTGGCATTAGCAAGAGGGACGTGAAGTCTGCATTAAGCTCCTCAAGTATTAACAGGAATATTTACTTACTGTTTCACAGATCCCTCTCCCTACCACTACCACCAGTTCGGCCTCCTAGGAGTCAGTAAACTATGGAGCAGGAGCACCATTTAGTCATTAATTATGGACAAGAAAGGCACCTGACAACTTGGTAAGGGAACACTCAAATTTCAGATGAGCGATACACAACATCACTCCCATTCTCATTCCTCACTCTAATTCCCAGAAAGCAATGTATATCATATCTGGTATCAACAACAAAAGACAGACACAATCCACACGTGTTAGCAACTAGCTATTCCCACCCACCTCACTGGCAGGGTTTCATTAGCTTTATAAACACTTTGGACATTCACAGAAACATGACCCTTGTCAGAAATCCCCCAATGTGCACCCACTAATTTCAGTGGGAAACAGGGGGACCATCTTACTGCACAGCTGGGGCCCAATCCAGCAACAGTTCCAAGGAAAGCTGCAGATTCTGACCCATCACATATGGGTAACATAGTTAAGCACCCACATGAGAACAGAGGTTACTGCTACTCTCCCTTCCCACCCATCATCCACAGCAAATCCACCCCAGCAAAACTTAACAGGACAGACTAAGGACAAAGCTAAAAGCAGTTCACATCTCACATAAAACATCAGTAATATAAGCAGCGAGAAAATAAGTCAGGCATTCCAGACACTTGCACAAGATAAAAATAAATAGGTAGGTCACCTGCTTGGGTTGCTGTCTGAAGCTACTCCCAGACCACCCCTTCATGAACCACTCAGAGCTGCATTTAAACCGTGAAGTAACAGCGCTGTTTTAGTAATCTTTGCTGATTTGTGCATGAATTAATCCATCTGGGATCCAGGTCTGGCTCAGGGAGCAAAAAAGGCCAGAGAAACCACACAGAACTCCCACAACACAAGATTTCAAGACTCCTCTGGGGAGGGGACAGGAAGGGAAACACCCTAAGCTTTTTAAATTATTTAAAAAGGCCGAGCCTAACTCCTCCCAGACCATAGGTTCATTCCTCTCTTGCAAAGGTCTCATACCATAGGCGTGAAGGATTCTCTTGGGACTTGGCACAGTGGGCTTGTTCTTGGTTCTTGTTCTGGGCTTCACTCTTGGGATTTACACAGCTTCCTGTGAAGAAACCTGTAGTCAACACCACATTCAAGGCATTCTGCAGGGCTCTTACTCCAGCTCAAAGCCCCATGGCACATAACCAAACTGCAAACACAGAAGCCAAGACGGCTACCTTGAATACTGTACACAGCTATCAAAGAATGCATCTTGTACAGAGCCTTCTGATTAGGCACAACCTGTCTCACCAGAAAGACCGCAGGTACTCTTAATTCCATTCCAGCTATGGCTGCTATGAAATCCTACAGATCCCACAGAGGACACTCTAAATATCTCCATGTCCTTGCTTTGAGGCACAGTAAATAAGTAAGATGTTTAAATCCTCACCGAATGCAAGACCAAAGATGACAAGGTTGTCAAGGTACTTTAGCAGAGTATTATACGTAGAAGAGAACAAATCTGAGAGTTGTCTCAAGTGTTCCCACGTATTCATTATGAAGAATGAAGTTTGACTAAACCATGTTTGTCTCAAGGCTTGGATACAAACGTTGGCAAGGATTTACAAGATGTCCTTGCTTATCTAACTGCATGCCTCACCTCCTCAGGAGATAACAGGTTTACCTGAAAAAACTATATTGACTGGTCAAGTGTAGTTTTGTTTCAGCACAAATCCCAGATTTCCCACATACCTCATGTAGAACCCTTAGTCTGTGTTCCTCTGAGGCCTCATACAAGAAATACAAGACTACCTTAACATTACCTTCATTATTCTCTGTCTGCTGCTCAGGAGACAAGTGCTGTGCAGGAGGGCTGACATCTTTTTCACTTTTGCTTGAAGTGAACAAGTTTTCAGGAGCCTAAAGGAAAGGGAAACAAACATTAGCTTAGCCCTGAGGAACAAGACTGCAACAAACCTTCAATCCTGAAAAAAGAAGAAAAACAACCCAGTCACTCCCAACTGCAAGCCTACTGCTAGCCTAGGGATTCTTCCACCCAACCAGAGTCGTGCTAGACAGATACATGCTGATTCAATTCAGTAACACAGGGCCCTGCTTGTGAAACTCCCACCAAGGCTGGTACGATGACTGTTGCCCAGCGTTTTCCTCATCAACAGTAGGACACTTTGATTTGACTTTAGGTCAAATGAAGTGCCTCTGGAATAAAGGACAGTTTCTATGCGCTTTGGAGACAAGTTCCAACTACAGATATTCTATTCTTGAAAGAAAGAAATCCCTTTAAAGTATCTAAGACTACAGTATAATGATACACTTTAAATACCATTGGTAGTATATTCTCAGGAGTATAACCAAGTCATTGAAGCAGCATACAGGCTGCCTGCACACACACGCAGGATGTGCCCTTCCCTACCTGCTAAGCTACTATCACCCACAGTAGAACCAGCTGTCCACTCATCCTTCTGCAGCTTCCCAAAGGCACCAGTGAACTGTTTGGAGGCAGAGCCAGCCCCTTTCTCTGCTGGGCTAATTTTCAGATAAGCTGGTTTACAGTGCAATCATACAAGATATTTTTGCCAGTTCAAAGGATAGGCTGAGTTTCTTTGTCTTGCTAGCATTGAAGACTTACGTGAGCTTGTCGCGTCACAGCCTCTCTGGTAAAATAAAGCACATTAACTTGAACTGCCCTTCTGAATCCTGTAATTCAAATCAGCCAGGCAACAAAGACTTGCTAAGAATATACACAGTCAATCACCATGCCCAGATGACAGGCAAAAGCTTGCAGACTCCTGGGAATCTGTCCAACAGCCTATGAAAGCTCCATCTTAAAGAGGCCTTAGCAAGGCACAAAAGGTGTCCATCCACCAGGAGCTGTGGCCGACAGGCATAACAAGCTGCCCAAGCATTAGAAAGGCTGTACTATCCAACTCAGCAATGCTTTTGCTAAGCTTGAAGCGATGTGATATAATCAATCCTGGGCTGCACTCCTCACATCCAGTCATAATGCTTCCAGCTGCTCTGCAGAAGATCAGCAGGTCATCCATCAGAACTCACCTTTTCACTTGGGGAGTTCAGTTCCAGTCCAGTTCTGCAAAAAAGAAAGCATCTTGATTATTTCAGTTCTCTGAAGTAAAAGAAACACTGCTTTGTCCTTGGTGCACCTCTACCAGGACAGCATTCAGAAAGATGAACTATAGGGAATGCAAATACGATGAAGCTAGCATATGGTACCCAAGGAAAAGGCAGGCAAGTGTTAAGTATATCCAGATAAAGGCAGGAACCTGTTTGAGCCAGGCCACACAGAGATGGAACTGTAAATTCCTCTGATGGACTGTTTAATTACACTGCTGAATAATACAGTGAGCTTTGTTCTCCCCTTTTCCTGTAGTACTTCCATGCAGGAGGTAACAAAGTTCTGTGCACCTCAGCCAGAGAGCATCTTACCTGTTCACCTTTCAAATCAGACAAGCTGACTAACCTCCAGCATCCCCTGGCATCCAGAAGCTGGTTAAAGCCAATGGCTGCAGGACATGATTCACATGATAAAGACAGAGCCATTGCTAGCAGGCTCTCAGAGCCTGAGGCATAGCGCTGGATCCTGCATTAATGCAGTGATCAACCTCACTGTTAGCATGAACAAGCTTCTGAAAAGGATGGGCTGTGTCTGAACAACAGAAGCTTGGAAATATCAACAAACTCCAGGTGATGACATCACCTGGAACAGTCAATTACAAAACCACAGTCCTGCAATACAGAAGCAACCCCTACAGCTTCTGTATTCTTTGCAGGCTTTTTTTTTTTTTGTGGTCTCTTCCTGCCTGCTAAAATGGTAGCCTCACCTCAAGTTATTGGTCACATCTTCTTCCACAAAAACCTCTAAGGAGCTTTGACCTAGAGGGGAAAGAAAAAAAAAAATAGCATAACAAAAGCCATCTTGGGGATTTCAATCTGAGGCTTTCCAACAGTGGCAATGCGTGAGTGGTAGAGCTCAGGTCTCTGTGCAGACTTCTCCCAGGGAACACGCTGATTGCTCATCTCAGCTTTCCACATGAACACTACCACCTCCCTCGAGTGTCACTGACAAACTGGTGTAGGCTGGGAAGGCAGAGAACTGGAGCAGCAGCTCCACTGTCTGCAGACTGCTCCAGCTGCACAAACATACTGATGCCTGTGTCACAGAGATATCATTTCCCAGTCAATTGATTTCAGTTTCTGCCTCCCTGCACAATTTTATGCAGAGATTTGGTCGATTTGGGCTGATTCTATTTCCCCTCCCAACATCACTTAGATGAAAGTGTTTTAACAAATGCCTAGATACAGTGTGACTCAAAGCTGACAAAACTAAATACCAAAGGCATTAGTGCTTTATTAGAAGCCAATCTGGTTTCAGAAACAATGATTTTTAGAAAGCCCAAATCTGAAAGCCTTCTAGCCTTGTCAGGAGCAGCGAGAGCAAGGGATATGAAAAACACAGTGCTGGACTTTTGAATCTTATTTCCTCAGATGACTGTGCTATTTAGTTCTTTGTCCATGAGCTTCATCTTCACCCAGAAAGCATTTGAGTTCCTCTGCCAATTTCAGAGAGCAGACACATTCATCTTCTTCCAGCTTCTCAAAAGAATCCACAAAAGACACTCCTACTAAAAGACCCTCTGCAGGAAATGCAGTAGCCTCAAGGCAATAAGCTACCAAACCACACACATACCTAGAATGGATCCACGAGGATGTATTTTCCCTTCTATTCTGCATTTATTTGCTTTCTGTTTTGTTTTTTAAGTCATCTGCAACTCCTGTGACTCAGTTTCCGGTACCTGTGCCCCACCTTATACTCCTTCCACAGTAGAACAGAGCCTGAGGCTCACCCTGACAGCAGATGAGGACCCGAGGATTGCACCCTAAATGGATAGAAGCCACAAAACCTACTGCTGTGGAAACTAGGAGGAACTGCAGTTAATATGGATGAGCAACTTTACAGCAGAGCTGAGAAGCTGACTTAGCCAAAAGAACACACTCAATAACAGAAAACTTACAGCTCACTCTGCTGGAGGCAGAGGAAGATTCTTGTGCTGCTGCCTTCTTTGCAATGGCCCTGCTGATAGATCTGCGGATCATGCTCTCTCTTTTGCTGGCCAGAGAATATTTTTCAGCCAAGGAGGTCCCATGGCTTTTGTGGGTGCCACCCACACAGCTTCGGCGTCCAGAGCGTCGTGTTTTGGATGTCACTATGGTCATTTTGTTGTTGGAGTCCTGGAGAAGCACCTTCTCTAGGCTTTGAGACGACAGATCTCCTTGGGGCATGGCAGGATGCCTATTTCTAGTAGCCTTGGGAGTGGACGTACTTGCTTTTCGTTCAATGGTCTCTTCCTCCTCTACTGCTGTCTGGTCATGAGGGACTGCACTGACAGCAGGCACCTCATGCAGTTCATTGATTGCACCCTCCAGGGACACCTGCTCTGCTGGGACAGCCTCAGAGTCTGCATCACCACAGTCAGCACTGTCTTGCTGTGGAGGTAACTCAGCCTGAGGGCAGTCATTGCAATCCACTTCCACCATGGAACTTTGTGCTTCTGCTGGCAATTTCTCAGGCAGTGCTGGAAGCTCCATTGCAGTGTTGGTCTCAGACCTCACCTGACAGCTAGGATTCTGGGGATGCTCTTTGCTGCAGCATCTTTGGGAACTTGGCCTGGAAGATGCTAGCTTGACACTGCTTCTCCTTCTGGACAACCTTAAATAAGAACAAATGAAACAATGCAGAAATCTCCCACTCCTAAACCGTTTCAAAACAAAACAAAGACAAGTTTCGCAGCAAACCTACAGCCTTCCTCCCTACATCCACTTCCCCTTACAACACACCTTTTGTCATTGGCTAAATGCAGGAGAAAAAAACCTTGAAATCTCTCACACACTCTAGCAGATTTAGCCAAGGATACTAAATTTACTTGCAACTAAAGGCTGCATCTAAAAACACAACCAGCAGCAGCTGAGGTACCAGGACACTTGCAATTCTTCGTGGATATTAACCCACAGCCCCAGCTGGACCTGATGTCAGGGGACAGTAAAAATCATACTGGTACAACCCACTCCCTGCCCCAAGTGAAGCGCAGACACCCACACGGGAAGGAATTTTAGATTTTTGGTTTGGGGAAGTTCCACAGTGAAAATTCAGCTTTGAAATGCTTTGCATTAGCTAATTTAACAAGAGATAATGAAGCCATTTACTTGATCAACGAGTCAAGAAGATTAAGTGGGCAAAACCAGAAGACAACCTCAGTGTTTCAGACATGAAACAAAGTTGAGAGCCAAGGTAGAAGTGGCTAACAGCAAGAAAACAGAGCTACAAAAATCCAAGGCACCATAAACTAGTTAAATGAGCAAGGCTTTACAGTTCCTGGTGGAAGAACACTCACAACTAGCCTTCAGATTGATTCCCTCTGCATTCCTTCCAATTTTGTTCTCTTAATTTCTCATTCTGACCTCCAGCAATAAACATCACTTCCTGCTAAAGTTCACAAAAACAAGGCTATTAATTGGGAAATTCATCAGCATGCTAATAAGTGGTTTCTAAAATATGTACTGAGGGAACCATAGCAATGGAAACAATGGCCTGAGCCTGCAGGATTAATGTGCTTAACTCTGACATGAACTTCCTGTTGACAGATGATCATCCAACCTTTCAGACATTGCCACATCAGCAGATCTTTCTCAAAGCTAAATTTAAATTAGGAAAAAACACATGCAAGATTTGTCATCTTTATGGAAGCAATCAAGCTGCTATCTAGCTGCTATCTGAAAACTAACAGTATGGCTTCAGAACTCTCCATGTTTAGATTTGCAGTATTTTCTCCTCCTGCCCTCCTTCAGCACATACATTCATGAACTTCCCACGCTTCCTTACTATTCTTGCTGTTCTCTCCATCCTCCATGTCTAGCTTATGTCAGTCTTTCAGTTCTAACTTTCCTGTGGTGTTTTTCATCATGGTTATCAAAAGTTAAGGGCCTTACCACACAGTTTATTACTGTATATCCAGTTACTGGGTTAGGGCACATGAAAGCAATTATCAGCACGCCTACCCTCAGATCACAGCATATGCTTCTCTGAAAAGAGAGTTATTAACCACCTTGTCCCAACCACAAGATGAAAGCAGATGCAGTCGGCCACCATGAAGGTATATCAAGGAAGTTAATTAACATCAAAACCAAATCACTCCCCAAACAATCCCTTCTTTGCATCCATTTGCAGACAACAGTTGTCACGAAGAAAGGCATTCCTCCATTTATCCACCTCCTTACCTCTTCTACTTAATGAGATTTGGCTTACTTTCCAGTGAATATCTTCACTGGTACAGGAAAGGGAAATAAGAAAATGAAGTTTGGCAGCTTGCCATCACTACTGTTGCTTCCATCTTCAAGCTGCAGAAACTCTCTTGGGCAGCAGCAAAGGGGCAGGCTGCGTGACAGAACAGTGGCACTGTCTACACAGAAAGCTGTTAAGAGCATGAGGTAAAAAGCACAATGCAAGCTACATTTCTTCTGCAGTCTACTTGCAGTAGATAAGATGCACAGCTTTAGGTTCCATCTATTTAGGGTTAATCTTGAAAAACAAATCCAGTAAGGATGGTTATATACCAAATCACTTGGAACTTCTATGTGTTTCATCCCAAACCCCTCTCAGTCCTTTTTATCTGCTAACTTAAATAACACAATAGGCATGACACTTTTGCACATTCCTTCTAGCAGGCTACATTCTCAGATGAGTGAACACGGGAGCAACCTCAGGTTGAAAGCTGTGCTGAAAAAAACATGAAATTAAATGAGAAGAAAACTCAAGCAAACAAGAAAGTAGAAAAAGATATTTATTGTTTTTAAACAAACAGAAAGAACACAAAGGGACAACTAATCCTCTACTAAATTTTCACAAGAATCAAAGTGTTGATTGACCTTGACACACCATTTTAAATTAAATATTTACTAAATCAAAAAACAAGCAGCTATTCTGGGTACGCATATGCAGAAACAGTTAAAATCTCATTTCACTGTTAAACGCCACATGCAGCAGAGCCAGACTCACCCACCTCCTCCTGGTTGGCTCATTCTCATCTTTCAGAGCTGAAGACTGCCTCTTCCTAGGCCGTCTCCTCTGGGATGGCGTTTTGGGCATCAGGCCAGGTTCAGCTCTGAAGTTAATGCTGAAATGCAGAACGCAGAGGCTGCTTTCCACTGCTAACTGCCCGCCACCCAGCCATAGCAATGTTCACCCATTAAGAGCAACAGGGGAGAAGCAATTGAGATGTAACACCAGCTGGCACTAATGCCTAAATGAAGCTGCGAAACACAGCCACATTAAATCCATCACTCAGCTGAACAACGCTCTTTCCCTAGGCTTACACCAGGGCTGCGCCACCAGCGGGCAGGAGCACACACAGCTTTGTGCTCTCCGTGTTCGAGAGCATCCTGGGAGGCTCCCTGGAGGGCAACCCCTACCTATCCAGCATCCTCAAGCCCTGCTCCTCCACCTCCCGCAGCCAGGCCAAGTGTTTGTGCTCAGCATCGTGAAGGAATCGGGACAGTCTCTGCCCGCACACTTCCAGGAGCTGCGTGGGACCGTCGGCTGCCGCCATGACCTTGTCTGAAACACAGGAGACAAAATGAAAACCTTCCAGGATACAGAGGATGACCGAAGCCCACTTCGTGCCTCGCAGCAGGGTACAAATAAGCACAGCCACAGTTCTAAGACAGATGCAAACCCAGAGGACCTCCCTGGTGGCTTTCCCAAGCCCATAGGACCAGCTGCTACGATACCCAGGCTCTCCTCACCACCTCTCACCCAGGAAGGCCTCACCACCACGGCTCTTTCCCCCCTTCCACTCCTGGTCCCAAATATCGCGGCTTCTACCAATCACAGTGCTCCACCGGCGGAGCCCTCCTCGCTACTGGCTGCCTCCCGCGTCCATCACTTCCCTGCTATTAAAATCCAGTTGCCTATTGGTCCTCTGCCCCAAGCCCCACCTTCCAAGTCCTCCACAACCACAGAGGCGGGCGAGCAGAAGAGAAGCAACTTTTGAGAGCGCCGCGCTCGCCTCCTGACCAATGAGGAGGGCGGGCGGCGGGGAGCGCGGCGGCGATAGGCCAGCGCGGCCGTCACGATGGCAGAGTGGGAGGTGAGCGTTAGATTTGAATTCCAGGCGGGCAGAGCTGCTGCGCGCGCGGCGGCGACAGTGAGGGGAGTGGGGTGAGGGCCGGGCATCGCGCGCGCAGGGGGCGGTTGGGGCTGAGGTAAGCCGGAGCGATGGCGATGGCAGCGGGCCTGGCGCGGCTGCCCGCGGCGTGCAATCAACGGCTGGCGGAGCTCCTGCGGCAGGTGGACGACGTCGACATGGTGTGGCTGGAAGAGATCCGCGAGGAGGCGGCCAGGATGTTCGGCAGGTAACTGTCCCCCCCGCCGCGCGCTCCTTCGCTCCCAACCGACGAACCCGCGCTGAGCTCTGCCCCTGCCCGCAGCCACTACAGTGACCAGCCGGAGCTGATGCCCAAGACGCCATCGCAGAAGAACCGGAAGAGGAGGAAGCGGCCGTCCGCGCTGCGGGGCGAGAGTCTGGAGCTGGGCAGGAGGAGGTAGGCCGTGGGCCCGGCCGTGAGGCGAGGCGCCCTGCCGCGGGGCCGTCGTGCTGCGAACCGTTCTGAGAGCTAGGGGTCCCGCCGCAGCAGCCCCCGCCGTGTTGCCGTTAAAGGCCTGCCTGTGCGCTGGCTCGGGGCGCTAGTAGCCTAGCGGCTGGAGCGCGCCATAGCGCGGAGGTGCCCGGATGAAAGCGCGCCCTACCTGAGAGTTAGTAATTGGAACTCGCGGCCGTTTTATGCCTTCTGTTTGCTTTATATAGCAACTTTCCGATCTGCCGGGGGGTGGCTTCCGTGGTTCTGGGCTGTTGCTGAATCCAGCGCTATGCTAACGTGCCGTCTCTATTGTTAGATTATCTAGAAGGAGGACTAACAACCTCAAAGCAGTGTCCTCTAAGCGATATTCTCAGCGACTCCAAAATAAAGAAGACTCAGCACCAGTCAGCACCGAGGCCCAAGAACTCTCAAGCCAAACTGTCTCTCAGCGGTTGACAAGATCCCAGGTTATAGCGCCTGCCGACTGCTCAGAGGTCCTTCCTGAACATCTAGGTGAAAGGGTAGTTCCCGTTGTAGAAATCAGTGTCTGCGATCGTGTTTCTGCTGAGTTTCAGTTCCAGAAGTGTACACCTGAACCAGCGGAGAACCACTCCACGAACCTCCCCCTGAGCTCAGATGACAAGTCTCCCGAGAAGAGCAGTGCTGCAGAATCACAGCATTTGCCTTCTGCATCTGAGCTCAAGGTCCCTCATACCCCAGAGGCAAAAGGTTCAGGAGAGCACAAGAGTGCGTTTAAGAAGACAGCAAAAGCAGCTAATACTACAGTTGTTTTAAGTGAAGAGCCTGGGCTGGAAGAGGTAGATGACTCTGCTCAGGTGCAAAAGCATAATGAGAGGGATGATAAAGAACCTCAGCATACAACAGATAGCCCAGAAACCCCTACAGGTTCTAGGCTAAGCCGTCGCTCTGTGCGCAGAAGTTTGATGGGCAAACCTTCCACGATTCGTAGAACCTCACTGGCAGAGAAATACTCACTGGCCCGCAAGAGGGAAAGCGCTATTCGGAAATCTATCGCCAGGACAGTGATCAAGCGTAAGGCGCCCCAAAAGTTATCTGTGTCCTCCAGTTCTGTGAATGGTAAGTTTGAACGCCACTGGATACGTGCTTTGCTCTGTTTTTGCTCATTTTGTCAGTGTATTGCATGAGACCACGGGTCTGGTGTTTGCAATGGGCAGGAATAAACACAGTGGCCAACCATCCTGCATGGTTGGATTCTGTGCCTGGAAAAGTTAATAGAAATGGGTAAGCCAACCCAGAGAACAGAAAATCAAAAGCACTGTGTGAGCTTGACCCTCAGCTGAACAAGATATGGTTGGCTACTTGAAATAATGCAAGAGAGGCGATCAGTCAATGGCTGTTCTTACTGCAAACTCCTTGTAGTATGTTGTGCAATCATACACAGCTTCTGAAGAAAGATGATGTTAGTGGAACTGGTTCTTTAGTTTGGGTGCAGCAGCTTAGCCAGATCTTAGATCTTTCTAGCTTAGACAGCCTTTCATTAAATGCCAGTGTTCTAACTGACTTTCTAGATACCTCTGTGAGCGGAGGAACCCAGATAACTGTTAACTAATGGTTGATAGCATATAAATTCAGCCTCGTATTTCACGTGAGAGAACATGATTAACATCTGAGTTTCTGTGGTGGATAGCTGGCAAAGTTCAAGTGGCATCTGGTAAATGGTTTTTTTTGTTGCTAGTAGTCCTTCAGGAGGAGTCTGGGCTCTGTCTTGTTTTAAAGAAAACAAGGTAGCTATTGTGAATTAGATGATATAATCTCTTCTGGAGCCCCTCCTTTGAGAAGGAATTTTGAGACTGATTAAAACAATCTTCTATGCTTAGTTTGCAATGCAAGTGGGTTTCTGCAAAGGATGAACGTCTGCTTGCAAAACAAGTCCTTGCAAAACAAGGTAAACTACCAGGGTCAGCACTTACTACAAAACAAGATTACTTCCCTTGAAACTGTCTGAATACTTTGTTCCATCCCAGGATCATTCTTCAGTCAATGGCCTTTAGGTCCCTAACACACTAACTCTGAAGGATACAAAGCAGCTTTTTCTCCCCAGTTTAAATGATTGGTCTGTGTTGTCTGGATTCCCTGGGAACCTTAAAGAGGACTTCATTTCTCTCCTTCTGCACTGTTTGACTTGACAGTTTTCTTGTCCAGTCAAAATTTCCAGGTGTAAGGAGAGAAACTGAGGTTCAGGCAGCTCCACTTGAGCTGAGTTTAATGTCTGAGCACACTGCATGGGTATTAATTGGCTGCATGGTATCCACCGTGTCTCTGATGGGTGGTGTCCTGTGCATCCAGCACATATTTGCGTTTCCTTTGATAACGCTAGCGTAGAAATTTAGGAGCAGACTTCATACTTCTGTAACGTCTGTCTGCATTTACCCCCCTCAGTCTGAGGCGGCATATCCATCTTATTAATTATTAACAGCAGTTTCCAGCCTGTGTTGGTACTTAAAAGCTAACTACCACTGAGCTAGCTGGAATGTGTAACAGGGAGCAGCACTGTGACTGTAAATAATGCTGGTTTCTGCTACTGCTAGCATCTGATCGCGGCCCTGCAAGATGAATCTGGGCCCAAGCCTAGCCACTCTTAATGTAAACACATTGAATATCACTTTTAACTCATCTGCAATTGAAAACAGTTCTCTTATATTAAAATTGCGGGCAATGCTTTTTTTCTAGTGCTACTTGGGGATATTAAGCTGCCTTTGCTTGTAGTGGCATGCATTTGAATTGCAGGAGGTAACCCAGGAGGCAGAGCAGAGGAGTCTTGAGAGAATCTCACAAAGAGTCTTGGCTTGTGCCTTACATTATAGTTTTGGCACCCTTTTTTCTTTTCCTCTAGGCTCGGGTTCTGAAGAGGTGCCAGAAGATGAAGAAACAGTTGTCAACACTGGGTGAGATTACTTTCAAGATATTTTTTTTATCCTTAATATCATGCTCTTTTTTTTTTTTTTTCCCCTCCAGTTGAATTCTTGATGTAAAATGCTTGTGGATAACAAGTCATTTCATAGTTTCCTCAATGTTATTAAATGTGGCTATCTTTCTAATTCTTTTTCTAGACCTCCTCCTGTACCTCGTACCCCTCCGAAGCTGGTAAGTTTTGACAAGGATTTAAAAGCATTTCTGTTTGTGTGGACTCATGACCAAAATATGTTGGATGTATCTCTCATACGTTGCTGGGAAATCAGGGAGTTGTGACCACATACAGTCAGATTCAGACCACTTGAATAAAGAAGACGTAGGGCATTCAGCTCAGCCACGTGCATGACCCTATACATAGCCTACACAGTTCTGGTGAACAGACTGGAGAAAAGTCTGATTCTGTTTTGATCAGTTTTCCAGAATTGTCAAAATTAAAAACACTGAAGTTTTTGCTCAGAAAATGAGTGCATGTGACTTGAAGTTTATTTCTATATGGTGTTACAAGCTTGGATGCTTCCCAGCCAAGGCTAGTTTGGAAAATAGCATTATCTGTCAGCTTACATAAGAATGTTTAAATGCAAGCATTTTAGTGATGTGAGTGATTGATTGCATTCAAGCATCATTTACACTGTTGGAGCAGGTCCAGAGGAGGGCCACAGAGATGATCAGAGGGCTAAAGCACCTCCTCTTTGAGGACAGGCTGAGAGTACTAGGGTACTTCAGCCTGGAGAAGGGAGAGCTCCAGGGAGACCTCATTCTGGTCTTCCAGTACCTGAAGGGCACCTACAGGAAAGTTGGGGAGGGACTTTTTTGAAGGGCGCGTGGTGACAGGACAAGGGGTAATAGCTTAAAACTGGAAGAGGGTAGATTTAGACTAGATATTGGGAAGAAATTCTTTACTGTAAGGGTGGTTGCCCAGCAAGGTTGTGGATGCCACCTCCGTGAAAGCATTCAAGGCCAGGCTGGATGGGGCTGTGAGCAACCTGCTGTGGAGAGAGGTGTCCCTGCCTATAGCAGGGGGCTGGAATTAGATGATCTTAAAGGTCCTTTTCAACCCAAACCATTCTATGATTCTGAGCACTGAATTCAGTCCTTGGTATTGCTGGCATTCAGAGTGGAGGCCTGCTTTCTTTTTGTGGTTTCGTAGCCCTTTATTTTTATGAGAATTCAATCCTCAATTCATATCAGACTGTTAAATAAACTTCTTACAATTCAGAACAGTTTTTTTAGTTGGGCAGAGTTGGTACACTACTGCTATTCCTGTATTTCTAAAGCTCTTCTGACCTTTTCACTAGTCCTACAGATTACTGAAAGGTTGTCAGTTTGTCTTAAGACGACGACAGAAATTCGTAAATATCACTCAGGTCAAAACATATCCCTCCACAGCTCACACTGCCCTTACGAGGAAGAAATCCCAGGATTATGTCAGTGTTTTGTTGAGAATCATTTTCAATAGGCAAAGGCTGAATTAATGGAGCAGACCTCTGTGGCATTAGAACTTTTGTAAGCAAGGATAGGTTTACATGTGCTTTTATGCATGTACTTTTTGGTAGATCTGCAAAAGTTCAAGTGAATTCAGTTCTTGTAGTGCCTGTGGATTTTAGCTTGACTGAGTTTCAGTTGTGCAAAAAGGTTACAGTGGCAATATGAAGAAGAAAAAAAAGGAACTGACTGCTTTGCAGATCTGCGAGTGGAGTATCTGTATCTTTTGCTTCTCTACCCTGATGAACTTACAAATGCAATCTAGTCATATGGTGTAGTTGATCTATCCTTAATCCTCATGTTTTATTTTATACTGCTGCTGACAAGAGTGGGATTTTATAACCCCTTTGTATGGTAACTGTTGTGTCACAGCCTGAACCACCGATAAAGCTCCTGAGGAAAGGACCCAGTCAGCCCTGGGAGCACAGGTGAAGGCAGTTCAGCTGTGTGACAATAAGGGGTAGAGCCTGGCTGCACCTCTCAGACCTCATTTAAGGGCTGACTGCCACTGGGGAAGGATCTCTGGTTGGAGATCCCCCCCTTGGTGAAGCTTTTCCCTGCGAACCTGGAATCTTTTGATACAGGTGAGCAATCTTCTTCCCTTCCTTTATAGCACCTTTCTAACTGTTCGGTGCTTCTGTCATCACATCTCTATTGTAATGCCTTTCCCATTGTATTGGTTGGTCCAATTGCTACATTGTTCCGCTCTTAAGCTGTCACCAGGTTACCTTATCTATCTGTCTGCCCTTTTCTTAGCAGACTGGGTTTGGTTCCTGGCAATCTTCTTTGTGACCTGTAAGCAGCACGAAAACATCAATACTCAGCACTCTTTGCAGAAAATAAAATGTCTTCATGTGCTCCTGTAGTCAAAGATAATACCTTTATACGTGCTGTTACTTAGAGATCAGCTTTTTCTCAGTCCTGCTATCAGATTAATCAGATCTTTGTGCTTCTGCTGGCCCCCAAGATGCTTCCTATACCTAGCCTTAAGATGAAACTCTAAAGAAGCATTTGTTGAGTATAAAGTTTCCGGGCTTCATTTTAACTTTTCTTCCTAAATCCTTTGTTGCTGACAGCCTACCTGCTAGCCAAAGTAGATTTGAGGAGTGGAATTAATATTTGTATTGCTAGTTACAGTGTAGATTTTGAATGCCATTACCTGTTCTCACAGACATATTGCACCATTATCACAGCAGAAGTAAATGTGTATCTGTAATGCCAAGGAAGGCAGACAGCAGTGTGTATCGTATTCATAATGGAAATACATAAATCTAGGAAATGAGCTGTTTGTTTTTGCCATCTTAATCTTTCAGCATTGCTAAGTTGAGCATTGTCTGATTCTTTGCCAGAACTCCAGCAAGCATAAACAGATTTCAAAGTGGGAATGCTTTTTGTCCTTAATAGGCTCAGTTTGTTCAGTTTAAATAGTCAGTTCCCCACTGCTGATATTCACACTGTGCATTAACATCTGTGCTTCTACTGATGGCATCAAGGGATTTTCCAAGATGGCATCCAAAGCTGTATTTTTCATAGCTGGTGGTTAGGACTTTACTCTGGATGCTGGTACCAGTACTCTGTAGTAGTATTGTACTCCCTGGTTATATTTCAGGCAGGGTCTGTGCTGGTATGACATGATTTCAGGGTCCAGGGAATGGCAATGAAGTTGGTGAGGGGACCAGAACACATCTTATGAGGAGCAGCTGAGGCAACTGGGATTGTTTCCTCTAGAGAAGAGGAGGTTCAGGGGAGGCCTCGTTGCCCTCGACAAGCTGTGGAGGTTGTGGTGAGGTAGGGGTTGGCCTCTTCTCCCAGGTAACTAGCAATAAGATGAGAGGGAATGGCCTCAAGTTGTCTGAGTGGAGGTTCAGGTCGGATATCAGGAATAACTTCTCTGAAAGAGTGGTGATGCTCTGGCACAGGCTGCCCAGGAAGGTGGCTGTGTCACTGTCCCTGGAGGTGTTCAAGAAATGTATAGATGTAGTACTGAGGGACATGGGTTAGAGGGCAACATTGTGGTAGGTGGATATTTGGACTAGACAGATATCTTAGAGATCTTCTCCAACCTTAATGATTCTGTGATTTTATGAATAGTTTGTTCCTGTGCAAGGATTGCATTGAGACCCATCTGTTTTTCCTACAGGATTTCCAAGGCCTGCGGATGTCACTTCGCTCTCAGACTGTCAAAAGAAATGAACAGCAGCAGGAGACGAGCAACAACGGTAACTGCCAGAGGCTTTCCGTGGCACTATTTTAAATAGTTATGACTTTGGGAGGCTGGAAAGCTTGAAAGACTGGCTAGTCAATTTGAAAGCCCAATTTGGAAGGCAAGGATTTGTTTCAAGAGATTAACAGTTAGGAAACTCTGTGCTGGACTTGTCATTTCCACCCTGGGAAGTGCATGGAAATGGTCTGTGATGTAATGAAGATATAAAGTTATGTGTTCTCAGGTTGAGGGAGAACCTTTATTTTCTGTTTCTAGGTTTGTATGACACTGGTTATTTTTGAAAGCAGGAAAGGTCCTGCTATGTGTAATGCATGGCAGGTGGGCTTTTTTTCCTATTTTGCCTGGAGAGAGCTATTAAATTTGTTATGTGCTTTCAAAGCTGTCTTGGAAGGGGTTGTTTGGCCAGAACTAACTGTTTAATGCTTTTTTCTTTCAGAATGTGACTTAAGTAAGAGTGAGAAGACCCAGGAACCACCCCAAAGTGCCAGGTATATTTATAGAATCATTTAGATTGGAAAGTGCTTGTGGTGATCTGTAATCCAGTCTCTTGTTCAAAATGAGTTCAACATAGAAACACTGTTAAATGGTGTAGTGGCAATGCTAAGTCATGGCTTGAACCAGTGATTGAGCACCTGGTGGGAAGGCAGGGCCAACCCAGGGGGGTTCAGCTACATGGAATGCATCTGAGTGACTGGAAGAGGTGGAGCCAGGATCCACCCCTTCCCAGACCTCATTTAAGGCTTGGCAGTGGTGGCAAGGGGATATCATCTGGAGATCCCTGCTTAACTGAGGGCCTTACAAGCCTTCTGAAGTAAGCAATTACTTTCTCTTATTTCTGTGACATCTGGGTGGATTCTCACTTGCTGCAGCCTGGGACCTTGCTGCTCTGTTGTCTTATTGTACTTTCTGTTGCATTACGAATGGCTTCAGTGACTTGTGAATATGAAACTTTTGTAATAAGTTTTCTCTCTCTACAAAAAGATGATTTATTTTTTATCTTCTACCACATTAGGAATTTTTACTGGATAACTATTTGAATATACTCCACCACCTTTTAATCTAGGATAGTTTTATGACTTTAAAAAAAAACTTGAATTTGGGACAAACAGGTGTTTGCAGTGTGTGGTAAGTTGCATGTTTTTCTCACAGGAGAAAGACAAGTTACAAGAGAGCTGTGGATCAACGCTATGACACCCAGCAAGCAGAAGATGGAGGGCTTTCTCCTCAAAGAAAAAAGACTCCATCTCCTCCATGTCCAGCCAGCAAAGTAAGATCCTTTTAACCCTGATGTACTTCAGCAGGAACTGTTTCTTACTGAGACTCCTGCACATAATTTTTTTATTGTTCTCCTAGGTTGTACGGCCTTTCAAAACATTTTTGCACACTGTGCAAAAGAATCAGCTCCTCATGACCCCAACCTCTGTGGGGAGAAATGGAGTAATAAAGTCTTTTATCAAGTACAACACTCCTCTCCAACATGATCCCAAGGTAAGGCACGACTGTCGAAGCTACTAGAAGATGGCCTAAAGAGTGTCCAGGTTAAAGCACAGACACAAAACAAACCTTCCCACCCGTGTTAAACTAAGGAACAATTTCAAGCTTCCTGTTTAGATGAACTAAGTAAAGTTGTGAGTAGTCAACTTCCTGAAGATTTCTAACTCAGGCTCTAATCTTTATTTCTATAGCATTTCTCTGTGGTTTTAACAACTAACAGGGGAAGAGAAAGTGGTTTTCACTTCCCAGTTATTTCCAAGAGGATTCTGAATACTGCAGTTTCAGTGCATATAATTGAAGCCTGTAGATTCTAAGTTTCACTTCTAGGACTCTTCTGATGAGTGAGATCTTTGCAAGTCCCTCTTAAATCTAAGCTGCTGATATTCTGAGGTCTATCAGATCTTTGGAGCTCCTTGTAGGAAGAAACATGAGCCTATCTTGAATTGAAGACTGCTGTGTCAGCGAGACAAGTATGCTGGTATCTACACAAGATCTAGTACAAATATCAAGGGAGTGTAATTGCAGCAACCAGCTATTAGCAGAGATGGATTGCATGCTTTTCCTGTTTGCAGGTGGATGCTGTTAACTGTGCATTATCACTGTGAAGCTTGTAGCATCAATAGGAGAAGCTCCTGCATGCCAAATAGAAGGATTTTGAGTGGACTTAAGATGTTCTGATCCTCCGTTTTCAAATGGAGTTGGTTTCCTGTGCTCTATTTCTGTAGAACTGTTTGGGCACTCTAACAGCATTAGTGAGGACAGGAGCAAAGCTTCATTGATGCACTGAAAGATGAGCTAGAAACTAGCATGGCAAGCACCGATTGCTCTTACTACTTATGCTCAACAACTTGCCTCCAGAATAAGGTAGTTCTAGGGCTTGTTTTTGCTTTCAGGAAGGCTGGAGAAGGAGAGGAGGGCATACTGCAGAAACCAATCTTCTTGTGCCTGTCCTGTATCTTGGCAACCTAACACCTAAACTTCCATGTGTTGTTTAAAGCTCTCGTGGTTGTGATGCTTAGAGAGTCTTGTGCCAGAAGCCTATCATTAGGAAGTAGCAAAATAATCAGTCTTTTATCTGACTGGTGTTCCTACTGACATTAGTGTTTGTGTTGGCAAAGGAGCTGATGTGATGAGAAAAGAGTCTTTCCTACTAATCCTTTGTTGCTGTGATTTCGTTGGAAGTTATATTTCAGGTTTTGTTCCAGTGCAGGCAACTTCCACCTTAGGACTTTCTCTGTATAGGGGCTAAACACCACTAAATAACAAAAGAACAGTAAGATACAATTGTAAATTTTAAATTAATCAGTTGGAGACTAATAACTACCAGTCTCAACGTGGAGCTCAGCATGAAGTAACCAATCATTTGAATATTTGACCCTGCTTATCAGTACGGTACTTGAACTGAGGCTAGAGGTGTCGTAATTAGGCATTTGCAATATACAGTCTGGTGTTAAATTAGTGTATCTTAATGTTTTTGCTATGATTGTAGTGGTGGTGGCTCTTGCTCTTGTAATTGACAGTATACTTCAGGTTGAGTTAGCTGGATTGTTCAGTAAAATGGAAAAAATCCCCTGCGTTTCTGGGTAGGTGCTGTACAGGGCCAACTGTGCAGCAAACGTGGCTGCAAGCACTCTGTTTAAATGGTGGTGGTTTACCAAGAGATAAAGCTTTGTGGGAAGCAAAGAAGCCAGTGAGAGCTCTGAGCTGAAGTAAGCAATGTGTTTCCTAGAGTACCATCTGTTCCCATCACTTGCTGCAGGAAGTTAATATTGTTGCCAAGCATTAGCACTGCTTTTTTGGTTCTCTTTACCAGTTAAATCACAGTGTTGTCTGTCTGCAAACTCTGTGAAAGCTGTCTGGACATTAAGAGCTGATGCTTCTGTTTTAACATCTCAGCTTCTTCTCGTGCTCTCAAGGATTAACGCTGTTGCATTGTGTCCATTGCATCTGTTCTCAGATGTCCATGACCACAGACCTGAGGTCTGTTTCAGGCTTATTACCATGGTGTTATATCTGGGTCTTTACCTCAATCTGGGTAGGCTAAGGTGGAAAGGAACTCTGTCATATGGTATAGTCACATTTCAATTCATCTTAGGAAAAGGAGAGACAAAAACTGCAGGCTCTGAGAAAGAAGGAAGAGGCTGAGCAGTTGAGAAAACAAAAAGTGGAGGAAGAAAAGAAACGGCGACTGGAAGAGGCAAAGTTGTGAGTATAAGCGTTCTGTCTCATCTGCACTGTTCTCTCTGGGCCTGTTATGTCCTGTGTCAAGGCCGTTTATCTTGCAGGCTCCATATATGCAGCAGAAATTCTTGTTGGTTTGCTCTCACTCTAAAAACAGTATTGGATCTCACAGTATCTATCCAAAATGCTACTAAGAAACTTAACACTTTTAGTTGAGTGCTTCTTTGATGCTTCTTTAGCTTTTTGCTTCAAGCTCTCTGCCGTGGAGTTTAAAAATATTGCCAATTTTTAAACAGTTTGCTTAATTCATTGGCTATAACACAGCTCTAGATGTGTGTCTGCTTTATTGGAGTCTTTTTGAGGTCTGTGGTAGGAACTCATCTAGCTGGATGCACTGACAACATTGGGCTGTGTCCTGCAGGAGGCGTGAAGAACGCCTGCGTAAAGTGCTGCAAGCTCGGGAGCGGGCAGAGCAATTGGAGGAAGAGAGGAAAAGGCGCATTGAGCAGAAGCTAGCTCTGTTTGATGAGAAGACAGAGAAGGTAAGGAGCATCCTACTGAGAGCTTACTGGTGAGAATAATCAATATTGAAGCAGGTGATGCTATGTGAGCGTGCCTTCCAGAAAGAGGAATGAAGGCTGCTGAAATTCAAAGAATGGCCATTTAAATAAAGATGTTTCTAGAAACATTGCTCTTAGTGATACTCAGTGACTTCCTTTTTCTTGGTTACAGCAAGTGGCAGGTAAAACTTTATTTTCTAGAGTTATGAATTTAAATGTGGTTTAATAGGGCTTTATTAGATGGATAGGAAAATGACTTCAAATAGATAAAGGCAACCTAATCATTTTATCTATTTGAAGTTGTTCTCTGTTCTGATTAACAGATGAAGATGTGAAAATAAGCATATTTTCTCCACACCTTTTCTGGTATCTCAGATCTTCAGACTGTTCACGTATGTGACCATAATGTCCTTCGTCTTTGCTTTCAGCATTTCCATCTGCCTTATTGATTTCCTGCTTCTTAGAATAAATTCTTATGGCTTTTATAGTATTAGATTTCTACTTCCAGAATAGAATTTGTATCTTCCTGCACAGATGCAGGAGAGGATGAAGTTGCGAATACCGTCTCCTTGGAAGCATTCAAGGCCAGGCTGGATGGGGCTTTGAGTACACTGGTCTAGTGGGAGGTGCCCCTGCTTATTGCAGGGGGTTGGAACTAGATGATCTTAAAGGTCCTTTCCAACCCAAACCATTCTATGATTCTAAGAAGATTGCCTTTTAAAATAGAGCATAGATCTCATCGACTCCTAGCGGCAAAAACAAAAATATGGAAGTCTGTTTCATAAGAGGATGGGGGCTTTGTATTCTTAAGACATACTACCACAGTAGTTCACACACAGAAGGTTGTCCAGCCTGAAATGTAAGTCTTCATCCAGCTGTGTGTGCTTTAGGTGCGGGAAGAGAGACTGGCAGAAGAGAAGATAAAAAAGAGAGCAGCTGCCAAGAAAATGGAAGAAGCGGAGGCCCGGCGCAGGCAGGATGAAGAGGCCAGAAAGCAAAAAGCACTGCAGCAGGTTTGTGCTGCAGCCCATCTTATTGTCCAGCATACAGTTAAAATAGCTGCAGTTTGCTGTGGTCTTTGTAAGCAAGGAATGCAGGAATGCTGAGATGAGCCACCTCAGTGAAAATTGGGGTGAAGAGACTGTTTTCAAAGCTCTCCACAGCACTGTGCTTCTAGCACTATGCTGTGAGCTGCTAGTGATGTTTGTAACCTGCATGTCTTCTTCTTACTGAAGACCTTCATTTATAAATTAGTTAACCTTGTCTATTGGAGCATGGTGGCTATTGGGCCATTTAGGATACATGGTGGTAGAGAAAGGATAGTGTAGAAATAGCTGAAATGCAGGAAGGCAGTGGGGCTGTAGCTTTTTGTTTCATTGCTGTGTTGTGATATATGCCAAAAACTTATGTCAGATGAGATGATCCTGATTCTTTCTTCTGGAGCCTATTCTTGTACAATGGGGAGTAATTAGTTGCCTTCTGCTTAACAGGAGGAGGAGGAGCGTCGGCACAAAGAGCTAATGCAGAAGAAGAAAGAAGAGGAGCAGGAACGTGCCAGGAAAATTGCTGAGCAGAGGCAGGCAGAACAGGAGAGAGAAAAACAACTGGCTGCAGAGAGAGAGCTGGAGAGGAAGAAGGAGCAAGAGAGGATTCAGGCAGAAAAGTAAGATAATATCCATTTATGTACCACATTCTGTGTGGGGCCTTTTAAAAGCAGTAGAAATGCAGGCCTAAGCACTGATGAGCTGTTTTGCACTGGGCACTTCTGACAATTGTGGGTTACTTCACATTTTAAAGATACCCATTTATTGAGTGCAATAATCCATTGCCTTGGTTCTCAGGCAACGTGAACAGCAAGAGAAGGCAGCTCGCCTGCAGAAGGAAGTATTGGCTGCTAAAGAGCAGCTCCAGAAGGAGACAGAGAAAAAAGTAAGTAGATGTGGCTCTGACTTCTGTAGCCCCTTACTGTTTGGAGTGGTTGGGCTATGAAGTTAAGAACCCTGATGAGTGTACTACTTTGCTTCTGATCTTGAGCTAACGTAAAGTGCTTTTGGTCCAGTCACTTCTCTGTCCACTTCAGTGTGAACAGAAGATGTCCTTTTTGTCTGGATATCTGTCCTTTCTTCTTACTCTGCTGCTAACACATACTGAAGTTTTTGGCTCTTCTTGTGCTTTGCCCGGGTGTACTGTACTGTGCTTGATATCAAATAATGATCCCAGGTTTTTTCAGAAACAACGTCCCAATTTTATGTTGTATACTTTCAGACAAAACAGAAGTACAGACTATAGAGTTCTGCAACAGTAATTCTCACATAGATTAACTAAACAAGCATCTTTGTTCATGGTTCATTGTTCACTGGCAGCAGATATCCAGATAGGACAGGATATCTGCTGCTCCTACAGGAGCTGAATTCCTTAGTGCTGATCCCTATGTACCCAGGAAGGTTCTCATCCTGTCTTTTAGCTTCATGAAGGTGGTAAACCCAGTACAACTTGTCTGAGATTAGGTGGGATTTGTCTCAGCCTGTACCGTTTGAGTTAGCAGTCTCTCTGTTTCCTTTACATCCAGTAGGAAGGACTAAAAATGTGTAAGGTCAGATTTCTTTTGGCTTGTTCTGGATGGGATCTTTAGATATATTTTTTTTTTTGTATGTCAAAATTGTGGATCCTTGAGTTAACCCCATGGGTTAGTAGTTAATAAGGTAAACTTAAATTCACTTTTGACATCGGCTTGCCAGAAGGAAGAGCAGTTGCTAGCAGAGATGAAGAGGCAGGAGCAAGAACAGAAGAAACAACCAGAGGAACAAAAAGCTAAAGATGTAGCCCAAACACAGCACCTAGAAAACAAAGAGGTAACTGCTCTCTGGTGAAATTTCTGTAAGGGATCGCATCGGAGAACTTAGATTCCAGCACTGGCACGCTGTTACTATGAGCCATAGTTCCTCCTTTTTTTGTCTTAATTCCCTTTTAGTAATGAAGGGATGCTGTAAACTCTTTCCTTAGTTACCTGAGGTCAGCTCCTGATGGCCTTGAGTACTTAAATGCTTTCGGGTACTGACAAGGAGGGAAGGGAAGCAGCAAATATATTCTAGGATTCTTCTAGCTGTCAGAATAAGGCAGTGGCTGTTTATGTTGCCTTGCCTTCTCTAAACTTGCTTAAAATACTGAACCTTGGAGGCAGTAGATAAACTGAGATAGTTGTATTTAATCTCAAAACTGCAACCAGCCACAGGATGGCAGCAGAGTGCGTGGAATAGTATTGCATTTGTGCTGCACTGCCAGTGAAACGTGAGATTATGTTGGGGATGAATATACACAGTGAACATAAAAGACAAATAAATACATGGGTCTTTATCTCCTTGCAAAGCTATATATTTTAATCTTTAAATGCAAAGCAAACAAAATGTAAACTAACAGTAATGTATATAGAGCCATGAAAAAAAGCATGTTGAGGGGAGCAAAACTGTTTCTAGCTCTTGCTTGTCTTTCTCATTAAGAACTGACTTTAAGTTTCATGGTTGGTGAAATTTGCTGTTTCAAGTTTTTTTTCTCAACTTGCATTTTTCTCAGTCTTACTGTTCCCATCAAAATTATAATAGAGTTTATTCTGAGATGGTCATTTCCTGTACAAGATAATATTTTGTTTAATGCTATTAAATGCCAGGGTGTTAAGCTGTGAAGTACTTATAGGACGTCTCTTAGCTCCAGCTTTGAGGATGTGACAACTCTATTAAAGTTCCTGATTTTGAGGGAAACTGTTGTATCTGTATTAGGATGAGTGTATTGCTGGCTTACCTATGTCATAATTAGCCACTTAAGTGGCCTAATTAAACAAGAGAAGGCAGTACAAAGTCAAAATGGGGTCAAAACTTTATAATTTGGGTGAAGCTCTTTGACCAAGACTTCAGAATTGTCAAATTTTAGGTTTCTAAATCATGCGGTACAGCAAGGGAGAACACCGAGATACTGTAAGCTACAAGCATCTCATGACAACTTGGAAATGTAGCAATACTACTGCATCTAACATCTGACAATATGTTCATCTTCTAGAATTCACCTGCCTGCAATTCATACCAGATGACTCCCCAGTACCATAAAGATCCAAAGCCCCCCAAGATAAATCCAAATAACTATGGAATGGATCTGAACAGTGATGATTCTACTGATGATGAAAGCCAGCCTCGCAAACCCATCCCGGCCTGGGCCAGTGGTACGTGTTAGCAGGTTAAAATCTGTCCTGAAAGACTCCAGCTATCCCTGATGCAGCTTTGTTCCAGTGGATGACAGTGGTTATAAGATTTATCCTTTTCTGTCAATTGGGAGCTTCATGGAGCAGCACTGGGGAATAATGCTCTTTTAAACCACCTTAACACTGCTGCTAGTGTCATTTTGCCAGTGTAAGTGTAAGAATTATGAACTGCTGCTCTGAATTGCACTTTGAAGTGTGCTTGACCGTGTAGTCTACAGAAGCTGGCTGTTGTTCTGCTTCTGAAATACTTTCATTATTTTCTGCTATTCCGCCTATCCCTAAGAGACTAAGAAGTTAGTGTGGAAGCTGACTGTACCTGTAGGAAGAAAAGCTGAGAAACCTTGTCCCTTCCTGGCCAGAACTCAGTGCGTTCTCTCCCATCAAGGAACCTGTGCTAAAGCTTTAGGCATAATCAAAGTGCTTTAAAATGTCACATGTTACAGGAGTTTTTCATGGTGCAGTATTTGTGCGATTAGAAACAAAGGGAGCAGGGACACACAGCATACGGTCTACATAGCAATTTCAGTGACAGAAAGTAATGGTAACTCTAATCTTTTGTTTCTGCAGGGAATCAGCTTAGCCAAGCAGTAATTCGCCAGTACTACAACCCTCCCAATGTTGATGCACTCTTTGGGACAATCGTAAGCCCCAAGTTGGAGGACATCTTTTACAAAAGCAAACCACGCTACTTCAAGCGCACCAGCTCTGCTGTGTGGAACTCCCCACCGTTTCCAGGTGCCAAATCGGTTCTAGGTCTGCCATACAGCCTGAAAAAGTACTGAGGTGGACAGTAGCTGTCTCCTGTGGAGCAATAACATGCATTTTTCTCTCTCTAAATGAGAAGAGAGTTACTATTCAGTATCCCTAAATCTTTAGGCACCGGCATTGAATAAATGTCAACTCTGACTGGGTCTCTTGCATTTTCTATTTTGGAGCCTTGTTTTCTTACCACTGAGCGAAGTTGCAGGCTTTGGGGAGATCTTGCTTCTGAACAGGGCATCTCCTGTTTCCTTCAGCTTTAAGATGCATTCTCATGACCTGTAAGTCTAAATCTTTGCATCATCTCAAGCAAGTGTGATTGTTCTCTTCAGCCAAGCAGGCCTGGCAGCTGATGCATGCAGTAGAGAAAGGTATGTTAGTGCTGTTCCTGCCTCTCTGTGGCTGAAGCCAGAATATTGTACAGCTAATGACCACTGCACGCATCTTGAGTCAAGTCCAAAGCACTACTGATGTCCTTAAGAATAAAGATCTTAGCAGCCATGGTCTTCATCTCCTGCAAATTGCAAAATAATTTGGTTTGGTTTTCATTAGTATGCTCTACGTCAACACCAAATACATTTATGTGCATGAGCTATATTGATGATGATGTTACTGCAGCTCAGGAGGAAATATTCTGAGGATTTTAATGACCTTTCTTCTGCTGTTAGAGAGAGAGAGGTGACTCTGGAGTTAACCATGTCTTCAGGAACACCCAGACTGGCATAAGTAATCTTTGTACTTCTGGCAGCCTCTCAAATAAATTATACAAAGGTCCGGGTATTTTTTCTCTAATTTAAATTCCATGTTTGTGGCAGATTGGATTAAAAGAATGTTTTTATTTAGCTTTAATCCTTGTCTTGCTCTTTTCTCCCCTTAGATATTTCACTTAGTCAGCATCAAAGCTGGTTTTATTTTTAAGCCTTCACTTTGCACTTCTTGTTCAGTAAAGCAATGTCAAAAGAGTTTCCTCATAACAGCAAAATATGAGCTCAGAATTTCAGCTCCAAGATCTCTTGGTGTTCTAGTCTACAAGTTTCTGCATAGAGAGAACAGAAGTCCCAGTAGGGCAGTGACATTTTTCAAGGAAACAGTTACATAAATTTCTATAGGTTGCTGTGGAAATCTGTCTTCTGCAAAGTAGGCAAAATATATGGTTCTTACCTCAGAATCATCTTTTTTTGGGGGGGCTTGATTTTAAAGAGGGTGAGTATTCATGGCTGCAACTTCAGTCAGTAGACTGAGAGCACTGTACATACAGCTTGGTCGCTGAGAAAAAAATACCCCTGGAGATTATGTAACATGTAAGGAGTATTTCCTTGTGCTTTAGCTGTCCTTCAAATAGATACCTTTAAAATGTGTTTTTATACTTATAACATCTGTCAGTTTTGTATTTGCTATTGATGAGTGCGTTCTGTGAAATGATTGTGCTTTGATAAATGTTCAGTAGATTGAATTTTGTACTATCATCTTAGAATGAGGAATGCTTACTGAAATGACAAACAGTTGAATGCTATCTGAATGTCTGACAGCTTGATAAAACTGAAGTCATCTCTGGTTCTTGTCTGGACTCATCATGGCTTTTTTTTAATTATTATTTATAAAAAGTACAGTATTTTGGAACCTGTCCCTCTGGGTTGTGTTTTGCACTGTTTCCTTGAGATAAACACATGTTGTCTGTGAAGAAATTCCTCATACAGCAGAAAAGACTCATGCTTTGATAAACAGGCGGAATTTGCTGAGCAGTTTACTGTTGTTTTGTTTCTGGGAACTGGAAAGAAGCCTGTTTGTTATGATGATAGATTCCCAGAAATACATTCCTGTAATTCACAGCAATATATATCTCAAGCCTGTGATCCTGTTAGTTTGTAGAGGCAGGCAAGTCATATCTGTGGAGAGGATTACACAGGAGATGTAATACAGGAAGGGTAAGGTGATATTCTCCATCACAGAACTGAGGGGCAGGCTCAGGATTTGAGGACAGTGTCAGCCTAAATCTCCCACAGTCTAAGGAATGTAAGTGCCCTTGAGATACTGGAATATTTCCCATTACCTATCAGTTTATTACTTGTCTGACAAATCCAAAAGAGTGGGTAGGGCAGCTGTTAATGTTCTTTCTAGCCACACTGAATGTTATGGACACCTTTGTGAACAAGGGATACTGGCAATTTAAAAAGCCAAACAAAAAGTTAAGAAAGCAAATTATTGGCAAAGAGAAAAGTCACTTCCAGTCTTCACAGACCACTTAAACTTTGTAAGAAAGATAGCATCTTCACTGATTTTATTTTATTTTTTTTTTTTTTTTTACCATTCTGTCTTTACAATGATGCGGTTCTGACCTTGACAAGAACCCAAAGTAAGCAAAGGATTATTACTGAGCCATTTTTACTCTTCTAGCACTAACTTCATCAAAATCATCTGAGTTTTGCTTCCCTCAGATACTTCAGACTCATCGTTGAAGGTAAGCAGCGTGTGACCTCTTGCAAACTTCTACAAGTAAGTAGAGAAAGCAGCTAGCTCTTCTGAGATAAGCGATTGCAGTTCAGTTTTGCTTAGAACAACTGAGCAGAGGGGAAGGAGAGGGGCTTTTACCTTTCTTGCCTTTACCTTTCTTGCCATATCTGCTCAGCAGAACAGGACTGGTTTAGGAACTAGGACCCCTCAGTGCAGAAGATAACACTGACACGTCAAAGCATTTATTTCATGTCTGTTTACAGGTGGGATCCTGAGCCAGGATCCATACCTGTTTCCCATTTGGGTTCAGAGGCTCTGGAAAGCTAAGTTTAAAGAGCTAGCACTACTCAAAATCACTTTTAGGTGTGTATGAGAGCTTGGTGTCCCAGCCAAACCTTACCCTTCCCCTCTGTTTCTTTACACTTAGTATTTACTCTGGCATTCCCTTTCCTATATTAAATATCTGAATATGCTTTCTCCTTAGAATAAATCTGGTTGTGTGTTCATTGTGGCTAATGCCTTTCTTGGCCTCCTTTGTAGGAAGAGGGGCTGACTAAGGAGAATGGCTCTGGCCAGTGTAGCCTGCTACTTTGTGGGTACAAAAACAGCAGCTGGTGGCCAAACTTGAAGAGATCGCAACTGTGAAGAAAATGGAGCCACTCTGGAAGCTGGCTGGGTATGAAAGGTGTGCTGTGAAGTGTATAGCTCTCAGGAAGAGAGAGCATTGCAGCAGTGGCTGTATCCTTTGAGGGGTTGGTAGTCTTGAGTGTGAAAGTATTTCCTGAAGATCTAAATGTGGACTGTCATCCTTCCCAGGCTGAAATGGCAGTGGGAAGAAATGCTGCTGCGTGCAGGTGAAATCAGCATCTCTAATTTCTTGTAAATTTCCAATTCCAGGTGCCAAGAGCTTTCTCCACCTGCAGCTACCTTTTGGTGCAGGTGGCTGCCTGTCCTCCACAATAACAGTTTGCACTGCACTACAAACTGACAGCTAGAACAACAAACAAATGAAACAATCCTTTCGGAGCAGGCCAAACCAAATTCTGCTGTTTCTTGCCTTGAGTGTTGCGTTTATTGAGCCCTGTAACTTAGAATGCTTGCTAAGAAGGTGGTTTTAAGTCTTTGCTTGTGTCCTGCAGGAAGTTGAAGCTTTTCTCTTACTGCATTTTCTCCATCCCATACTGCTGTTTCAGACAGTGTGGGAAGTGCTGCACAAAATGAGGATTTGGCTCTCCCATGTCTTTACTCTGGCCTACTCTGACCAATGCTTGTACCACAGTGCTGTTAAGACAAGAAAGACCCACAAAGAGGAATTGCATATGTCAGTGGGCACAACCAGGCTTGATTCTAGACTTAGTTGTTGTTAGACTTAATTGAATCTTTCAGTGTTTGGATTCTTAACTTTCAAATTCTGATTTAGATGTTTATCTGCCTGCTTTATAGTTTGTCCAACCTCCAACAGGGGAAAGAGATCCAAACAAAGTAGCATTCACTGCTTGCTTTTGCTTACTCTGGCATTTCCCACAGCAGATAATTCCTTCAGCAGAGCAGCAGACCTCCATGTCTCCTGTCTCAGTGGCTTGAATGCTCTCCTGTCTCCTAAATGCCCACCTACTGACTTCTCAGCTCCTGCTGCTGTCTGTCTGGTGTTGCTCTAGGCCAGTGCCACGTTCCTGGGGCAGGGGTCCCATTTGGGACATTCAGGCTATGGTGCTCACTGTTCAAGTGAAGGAGATGATGACAGCTCACAGAAAGGCACTGCAGGCCTGTAAACAATGAAAGGTGTTCTTCCATCCCCTACGTTCTTATTTCATAAGATGAAGTGATACATTTGCCTTGAGTAAAAATGCAAAGCCAAAGATAATGAATGATAGACTATGGCTGCAAAGCACTGTTTTGTAGCACATAAAAGGCTTTTAGCATTTCAGTTATCATGTACAGATGCACTGGGTCAGGTTCTGCAATGGTTACAAACAACTCACCCAAATTACCTATTCTGCCTGTGCATAGCAGCATTCACTCATATTCATACAACACAGAGCAACTATTTTGCTGAACTCATGGGTCTTTGGCATGATTACACCCAGCAGACAGCTCCCATTACTTTCTACTAGCAATGAAAATGCCATTGGGAAAGACAAGCTTGGTGTAAAGACTGCAGGTGGTCAAAATGAACATTTATTGCTGACAGTATAAAATATGTTTCCAAGTGACTTTTAAATCAGAGGAAGAAACTAATCTCCCTGTAGAGCTTTTGCTGGGACTGCAATGCCATCTGTGCAGTGACCACAGGCAAGAAAACCCCAGTCTTCAGAAAACCATCATGTGCTAAAATGGGGTTAGCCCAAATTAAGTTACTTCTATGCATCTGTTTTGCAGTTGAGTGAAGAAGCTGAGCTACAGATCGAGCTTCATCAACACGAGACTCATTTAAGTGTTATCCTTTTCTTACCAACCTTGATATTTTTCTCACAGTAAGTATGTCTCCAAACTAAGTGCTAAGATACATACAACAAGCCCGTACTTTTTTGCTATGCTAACAATATATTTCCAGCTCTACATCTCTACTATATTTTCAGATTTAAAAAGACAGTGTTTTTCTGACACAAAATGCATTTCATGAATGAAATGAAACTTGTCCAGCCCTTACCATGTGCAGAACTGTGAATCTTGGCAAGCATATGTCTACAAGCTTTTATTCTGATTTCTTTTCCTAGAGGTGGATGAATGGAATGAGAAGTATATGAAATAACATACTTTTTAACAATTACCACATACCGTACATGTACCAATACCACAAACCATTGAGATGAGTTATAGTGGTATTCCTCACAGTTAATTTCAGCAGCTTACAGTACAGATGCCTCCACCCGAGGCAGACATCTGAACTTACTTTAGAGCTGAGGGTGAGGTGCTTAATCAGGCCTTGGGGCCCTGATGATCCTGACCATCCTCGGCTGGGCTCTTCATCCTCAATAAAGCTGAGCTGGGAGCCCTATTGTTCCTTCTTTGAGCTCCATCACAGTGCTGGCTCTCAGCTCAACTGCTTGGGGCTGTAGGTGCAGATCATCCCAGTGTATGGACCAACTTCTTGACCGTGATCCATTTCAGAAGTTATGCATCCATGGAGGTGCATGGCAATTAGGGTTGAAAAGGAATTTAAAGATTATCTAGTCTAATCCCCTCCGTGGGGAGGGATTAGAGACAGCCCCTCCAGATCAGGCCCCCGAGGCCCCCATACATACTAGTCTTGACCATCTCCAGGGATGGGGCACCTGCAGCTGTTCTGGGCAGCCTGTGTCCTGAAAAGACCAGCAATGGACATGTCACTTGGTTTAAGAGAACTGTCTGCTTCTATGGAGAGAAGGAGGAACCCCTTGATTTGTTCACTATGGCAGGGCAAGCTATTTCCCTGTGTGTTGCTCAATGAAAAAAAAACAAACCACATGCCACTCACGAATGGAGGAAAAGTGGTATTGGCATCTTTTGTCGGTAAATAAATACACCATTGCTGTGAAGGTAAGGCTGCTTGACTGACATCATTGTCAAAGGAGGAGCACAGCCTGCTGCTTCCTGTATAAATGTCAGCTCTGCAGGAAGACTCCAAAGCTGCTGGGCTGCTGTGCTGTGCTGTGTGCAGCAGAAGCCACCATGAAGCTGACTGTTGTTTTTCTGCTGGTTGCCCTGGCGTCTTATAGCTGCTCTTGTAAGTATGATTTCCATCAGTTTCTGCTTTCGACCTGGGAAACAGTTAAACATGAAGCACTATTTCTCCTCTGCAACCGTCCTAAAACCAGGAGTCTGAACAGATTTTGTGTTTTTGGTATCTGAGTTGCTAATGGGCTGATAGCTGCAGTCTGACAGCGATGGGTTCCTTGTTTAGGTGAGCTCTAATTGTTGACATGGATGAATTCTCCAGCCATGAAGGTACACAGCTTTTCTGGTTAGCCTCACTTACACCTGGACTCTTATTTTCACGTGTCTACCAGGAAGTGATTACCCTGAAGAAACATATTTCAACCAATTACATTTGGTCTAAAGACACAGCTGTTGGAAACTGCACAATGTCCTTTGGCTCTAACTGTCACTGACTGCTGTCTGTT